TAAAGTATTTGTCCATTAACCAGGACAACCTTGTTTTTCCCCCTTTTTTGCCCCTAATTCCTAAACGGTTTGAGCCATAACCCCCCAAAGCAAATCCTAACCATCCCTTTGTGGTATGGAAACTTGTAGTATAATTTCAGAGAGATCCATACATCATTCCACAGTTATTGTCTGGAAACTAGAAAATGCTTATTTTTGGCCCCTTTTTGGCCCCTAATTCCTTAACTGTTGGTACCATAACCCCCAAAACCAATCCCAATTCAACCTTCCTTTTGTGGTATTTAACCTTATGGTAAAATTTCAAAAAGATCCATTCACTTAAACTAAAGTTAGAGTGCGAAAACCAATGTGTCTTCGGACGACGACGCCGGACGACGACGCCAACGTCATACCAATATACGACCACAAAATTTTTTTGCGGTCGTATAAAAATTGAATTGTAATTTCCTGTCGATATGCACATCTACGTAGTATGTCCTTATTATTTGAAAAGGTTTCATGAAATTCTTTTGTGTGGTTTGAGAGGAGTTGTGATGACAAAAGGTTGCAGTAGTATATTGGGCAAATAAGTTCAAAGGGGCGTAACTCCTGGAAAAAAAATTGAATCGTAATTTCCTGTCGATATGCACATCTACGTAGTATGTCCTTATTATCTACAAAGTTTCATGAAATTTTGTTGTGTGGTTTCAGAGGAGTTGAGATGACAAACTGTTGCAGTAGTACATTAAAGTAAATAAGTTCAAAGGGGAGTAACTCCTAGAAAAAAAATTTAATCGTAATTTCCTGTCGATATGCACAACTACATAGTATGTCCTTATTATCTAAAAAGGTTTCTGAAATTCTGTTGTGTGGTTTGAGAGGAGTTGCGATGACAAGAAACAGGACTGACGGACTGACGGACAGACGGACGGACGGGTCAAAAACATTATACCCTCCGCAACTCGTTCCGTGGGGTATAATATAACTTTGCATGACCTAAGCTTAGGAAATTATAAGATAGTTGGCCAAGTTTCATGGCCATAAGATATATATTATAGAAACTAGGGCCATTTTAATATTGAAATTTGGAAGTTTATTTTTGACGTTTAAATCAAATATTTTCAACTGTCAAGATTTTGGCCTAAAAAATTTAAATATTTCAAAAATGTGCTTTTTTAAATACTCTTGAATATAATATAATAAGTATTAAAAGCAACGAAACACTCATTTGATTTATCAGATTTATTACAGCTATTCAAAAGTCAAATTTATATGAGCCTGTGCCTGAAAATAGAGATTTTCGAATTAAGGGAAGCCTTACATAAACATGCATTTTTTTCAACCAATTTGAAGTTTTTGAAGTTTTTTAACCATACATTATTCTTTCAAATATATTAAATGTACTTTTAATGTAAAGAAAAGTTACAAAAAACATACCACATGAGAATAAAATGGTCTTAGGCCAAGTAAGACTGAGAATTATTTAGAGTCGATTTAGGCCGTAGCCAATATTTACATATAAAAATGCACACAGAGGCTATAAGAAATGGAAATTTGTTACTTTTTGCTCATTTCTATGCTTAGATGTCATGATACAAGAAGTCTAATTGCAAAAGGACTCTTGAATTCAATTTTTTTTGGCAGACAGTATGGTCTGATGACCAGTTTTTCACTTTTCAATGGAAAACTTGCATGTAGTTTTAGTCTCAATTGGCATATATTTGAACCACTTACTATCCTAAAGAAGAAAATAATGGTAGCATATGAAATGAATAGGGTGTACTTATCATTGTAGAGTTTTTTTTTTATAGACTTAGTGAAATATTTGTGATGGACTACAGATTTTATGTACAAAGCTCTTCACATTTCACATACATCAAACAGGCCGTTTAACCAGGGACATAAATACAAATATTCTGCACATTTTTTCTGTGATAATCTACTTTTCTCTAGATTCAGAGTTCACAAATGGTTAATTAAATTTGATTTAAGCATAGAAACACAAATATCAGGAACATAAAAAGCTGTCAGATAGAAAGTCAGCATGGCTCTTAGGCATAAAATGGAAACTGCTTTAAAATGCTTATTTAAGCCGTATAATGCCAAAATGGGACATTTTAACAGAACTTCTGTCAAACAAAGATGTAAATCCTTTGCTTTTATTGAGTTTGACAAATTGAAACCAGCAAACCATTCAGGAAAGTTGCCAAAGTACAAAATCTACATTTACGGAATTCATCTCTTAGGCCCGAGAACACAGTTATTTCGTAGTGCATTTCTTTTAGACAATAAATTCAAATTAAAAAATCGCACCTGCTCTATCTCAAAAAGATTTTTACAGTGTAGTGTACTACTATTGATACAAATAATATCAAAATTATAGAAACTTCTACCAGCTCTAACTCAAAATATTGACAATTCTGTGTTAAGGGGGGCTAAAATTCAGTTTGACAGCTTCAGACATTCTAATTTTTGACCTTTTTTAACTTGACCAAATCACTACTTAACATAAACAGTCAAAGATATAACTCTATAGGGTTATTACAGAAAATAACTTGCGTGTGTTATTACAGATACTTTCATGAGTTGTCTACTCTTTATTCCTTAAATTTTCTAAATCTGTAATAACATATGTTTGTTATTTGTAAAATTATTTATTTTATAGTGGGCTCTAGGGAACTCTAGAGACTTTGCGCAGAAACTAAATGCATAGCCTTGATAACTAATTTTTTAATTAAATTAATTCATTTTTGATTAACGATGGTAAATCAATGAGACGAGGCTATTAAGGGATAAACTTAGCTGTGATAACAAGGCTAGGTTATTAAAGGAATGTAACTTATTATATAAGACACTTGGGAATTACTGAGAAACTTGCGCAGAACCTCATTACATGCTCTGGTCATTATTTCTTACAATAAATTAAAATACATTGTAATTAAGCATGATAAATGTCTGAGCAAATGCTTTGAAGTGATATAGAGAAGCTGTGATAACACCCTTTAGTTATTACAGGCGTATTTTTTCTGTAATAACATATAGGTGTACTATGCAAAATTGGCAAACTATGAACTGTTATATCTTTCAATAGTTAAGTATATATATAGACAAAAGTAATATCAATAGAACTTTTATACATTTTAACTAAACTAATGATGTATATTGTCCCTTTGAAACATGTAACATACATATGTTATCACAGTTCTTTGATTTTTTAGTCCACAATAACAAATGTATGTTATTTTTCTGTAATAACCCTATAGAGTTATATCCCTGACTGATAAAGATTCTGCACCCAAATTTTTTTAACATGTAATTTCATCCCCTTACTTAATATTTCATGCATAAAATATCAAGAAATAAATTGGGAAAGCGTATCCAAAAAAAAAATGCAAGTTATACACTGTTCACACTAGGGACTATATTCGTAGACAACGAAAACCAAAGGACGATAACTGTGTCCTTGGACCATATACCAAATAGGACCTGGATGGTGGCCAATTTTTGACTTTGGATTGACACCGAAAGAAACTACTCTTGGTAAACACCTTCAAATGAAAATATCACTAGTTTAAATGAAGAAAATCTTTGACATTTGGACAAATCTTTCCCTTGGGTGCCTTGGAGACTTTTCATCATTACCAAAGTAACAACATTTTCATAATGATCAATATAACATAACTTAATAAAAAAGTTCCAATGTTCCCCTGCACATTGAACATATCTTATTTGTCAAAGGATGTAAAGGGCAATAAGTAAAATAATTTTATTTTGGTTCTTTTAAACTTTTATAAATATCTTGCAAGATATATAGGCATGAGATGGCTAACAAAGTTATTTTGCATATGGTTCTATTACCAAGGGGAATAACTCCTGTAAAAATATTTGGTCAGAACTTTCCAAGACCTTGCTGATATAAGCCTTTGAAATAAATTTCATTAAAATTTGAAAAGAATGTAGGTGTGGGAGTGCTTACATTGCTGTATTCAATTAAGAATGGAATGCTTCTTTTTGTAATCTTATTGGGATGTAAAAGTGTTGATCAAAATATGTGTACACAATCAAAGCTTTTTGGTAGATCTTGACATCTTGAACACTTTACCCTGTCAGGTTTTTTCTATCAAGTATGTTTTTCAAAAGAATTTAACCTTTTAGTATGTTTGATTTTTAGCTATACTAATATAAATATATAGAAATGTGAAATGATTGCCAATGAGACAGCTATTAACCAGAGTCCAAGTATATATAGTCAGTTATAAAAGGCCCTGCGACATGACTGTAGACAATAAGGAAGCACAGCCAAAGAACTCTAAAACTGTTATAAAGTGCCAGACAATAAGATGTGTGTAACACATAACAAACACAGAGCAAATATAGAAAATATAAGAATTCTTAGTAAAACCATAGACAGGGGCAAAGATAAAACATGGTAATAATTTTTAAGAAATAGAACAAATAATTAAAAAAAAATTAAGGTTGATCAGTTGGTTAATAAAATAATTTATAATCTATAACCTAGACATCCTAATAATTAATCATGTGAAATTAAGTAAGAATTGGTTCAGAAGTTAAAGGAGACTATCTTTAAAAAGGTCTATGACACATGATGGACAGGTCCTAAGTCAGGAATCTGATGTTCAGTAGTTGTCGTTTGTTGATGTGGTTCATAAGTGTTTCTCGTTTCTCGTTTTTTATATAGATTAGACCGTTGGTTTTCCTGTTTGAATGGTTTTATACTAGTAATTTTTGGGGCCCTTTATAGCTTGCTGGTCGGTGTGAGCCAAGGCTCCGTGTTGAAGACCGTACTTTGACCTATAATGGTTTACTTTTATAAATTTTGACTTGGATGGAGAGTTGTCTCATTGGCACTCATACCACATCTTCTTATATCTAAGGACAGGCACCAAGTGATGGCAATAGGTCATCTAAACCTTTACAGCCCTACAGAACCTGATGAGATAGAAATGTTTTCACTTGTAAAATAATTTTGAAAATCCTTTAAATGTGTAAATATTGTTTACATGTCTATTCTTTCTTCCAATGCCGGAGCAGCTGAAGTATTAGAATCTATAGTGGCAGTGTGACTGCTTGATAATGAGTCTGCTTGTGTGGAAGCAGGCTGACTACTGGAAGCTTCTGTTTGTGCAATAGACATTTGGATAGGTTGTGTGTCCAAAGGAGGAGAGCCACCAGTCTGAGCTCTGTGGTTCTGTAATAACAAGGTAAAGAAGAAACATTATTTTGTTTATCTGTACAAAAGTTAACACTGAATTATAACCATACTTTGTCATAATAATTCAAGACCTCATTAATATATTCTAGTTAAAACCTTATTTTTGGAGTAATGTTTGAATTCCAAAATCATGCACAAACAATCCGTATGCTTTGCTTAACCACTGCAAATATCGAGGATATCTAACATAATATTAATAAATGGTCTGCGGGGACAGCTTGATACGACCACAGAGGTCGAACCCAGTACAGTTGGGGCAAGTATGGACACTACATTCAAGCTTGAAACAGATCTGAATTTGGATCGTTATTACATATATTTGACACAGTATGAATGTGGTCAAAGAACTGAAAAATATCCAAAATATAAATACATGGTTAGATTTGGCATATCAAAAAACCCTACGAATTCAATTTTTGATGAAATCAAACAAAGTTTAATTTTGGACCCTTTGGACATCAATGTGGACCAATTTGATAACTGGGACCAAAATTTCGAAATCCAAATACATGGTTAGATTCAGACCTACCAAAAAATCCCATACATTCAATTTTTGTTGAAATCAAACAAAGTTTAATTTTGGACTCCGATTTGGATCAACTTAAAAACTGGGCCCAAAATAAAAAATCTAAGTACATGTTTAGATTCACCATATCAAAGAACCCTAAGAATTCAATTTTTGTTAAAATCAAACTAAGATTAGTTTTGGACCCTTTGAGTCTTAATGTGGACCAATTTAAAACCGGGCCCAAATTCAAAAATCTAAATACACTGTTGGATTCAGGATATCAAAGAACCCCAAAAATGCAATTTTGTTGAAATCAAACAAAGTTTAATTTTGGACCCTTTGGACCTCAATGTGACCAATTTAAAACCGGAACAATAAAAACTAAAATCAAAATACACGGTTAATTAGCTTTAGCATATTATAGTAAAGAACCCCAAGAATTCAAGATTTTGAATTAAACCCCACTGAAATTGGTCCAGAAATAAGCAATTTATACAAAGTATTAGAAAAGTATTGTTTTTGGCCTTTTTTTCCTAAATGGATAGGGCCATAACCCCCAACCTTCCTTTTTTGTAATGGAAATGTGATACAATTTCATGGAGATCGATGCATAGACTTATTCTCAAGTTATTGCCCGGAAACCAGAAAATCCTTATTTTTTGTGCCCCAAATTCATAAACGGTTTGGCCCATAACCCCCACAATAAGTCCCAACCTTCCATTTGTGGTATGGAACATTGTGGTACAATTTCATAATGATCCATACATTACTATACAAGTTATTGTCCTGAAACAAGTAAAATGCTTGTTTTTGGCCCCTAATTCCTAAACAGTTAAGACAATAACCTCGCAAATAAATCCCAACCTTCCTTTCGTGGTATGGTACCTTGAGGTACAATTTCATGGCGATCCATAGACTTATACTCAGTTTAAATCTTATAGGTAAAATATTAAGAAATTCATGTTGGAGTTCCCAGAATCATTTAGTAAACAAAGAGATTAAGTTGGACTATGTTGTAAGTTGTAACAATTGACTAATTAGTCAAGGTAAAACAGGTAAAATTAAAAAAAACAGAGAACAATTAATTGAAGGTCTTTCCACTAAAATTCACTTAAAAGAAAACTTGGATAAAAAAACAGTATGTCTGGTCTTAAAAGATAGCTTATCACACACTGATTTTGAAATTACAATGTTTAAGGTACTTTTTTTGATAAATTAAGAGAGATAATAACCACTTCCGGTTAAGTCAAGGTTACTTCCTGTGTAAAACAATAGCTAACTTTACGCTGATTCCAAAAATATATGGTTTCTACAGTTATTGTCTGGAAACCAAATGTATTCGGACGACGATGACAACGACGACATGGTCATACCATTATACAGCCATAAAAATTTTGAGGTTATATAACAAGAGGCTCTCAAGAGCCTGAATTGCTCACCTGTTATTTTTTTTGCTTAAATCTTTCATCAATGATTATTTTTGCTTTTCAATATATATTAATGAGTGCCTTAAAAATGCCATTTAAATGTTCATTGTATCTGTCACATTTTCTTCAAAAGCAAATAAATGCATTTTACCCATATGTTCCACTTTAGCCATAGTGGCTATGTTTCTTGACGTACAAGGAAATAAAATACAAAATTTATACTAGATTCATTTGAGAAGATTTTTAAAGTTAAAAACATAAACAACTTGTGTAAAATTGTCTTTAAAGGGCAATAACTCCTTAAGGGGTCAATTGACAATTTTGGTCATATAAAACTTTTTTGTAGATCTAATACTTTGCTGAACATTTATCTTTATCTTTAATAAAGTTCAAGATAATAACCAAAAACTGCAATATGTCCTTGGCAGCAACCCAACAATGGGTTGTTCAGTTTGTTTGAAAATTTCAGGGCTGATAGATCATGACCTTTTGAACATTTTAACCCCATGTCAGATTTGCTCTAAATGCTTTAGTTTCTGAGATATAAGCCAAAAACTGCATTTGACCCCTATGTTCTATTTTTAGCCATGGTGGCCATGTTTGTTGATGGATCAAAAATCGGATACAATTCATAAACTAGATTCCTAAAGGAACATTCATTTAAAGTTAAGAAGTATTTAAATTTAGGCACAATAGTTTCAGGAGAAGATTTTTAAATGTTAGCAAACTTGATGAACAAATTGTGTAAAATTGTCTTTAAAGGGCAATAAGTTCTTAAGGGGTCAATTAACAATTTTGGTCATATAACTTTTTTGTAGATCTTACTTTGCTGAACATTATTGCTGTTTACAGTTTATATCTATCTATAATAATATTCAAGATAATAACAAAAAAATGCAAAATTTCCTTAAAACTACCAATTTAGTGGCAGCAACCCAACAATGGGTTGTTCGATTCGTCTGAAAATTTCAGGGCTAATCGATCTTGACCAATTAAACAATTTTACCCAATGTCAGATTTGCTCTAAAAGCTTTAGTTTTTGAGATATAAGCCAAAAACTGAATTTGACCCCTATGTTCTATTTTTAGCCATGGCGGCCATTTTTGTCGATGGATCAAAACTTCGGATACAATTTATAAACTAAATACCATAAGGAACATATAGTTAAAGATTGAAGGTATTTGGCCTAGTAGTTTCAGAGGAGAAGATTTTTAAATGTTAGCAAAGTTGATGAACAAATTGTGTAAAATTGTCTTTAAAGGGCAATTACTCCTTAAGGGGTCAATTGACAATTTTGGTCATAGAAACTTTTTTGTAGATCTTACTTTGCTGAACATTATTGCTGTTTACAGTTTATATCTATCTATAATAATATTCAAGATAATAACAAACAAGAGGCTCTCAAGAGCCTGAATCACTCACCTGTATTTCAGAGGAGAAGATTTTTAAATGTTAGCAAACTTGATGAACAAATTGTGTAAAATTGTCTTTAAAGGGCAATAACTCCTTAAGAGGTCAATTGACAGTTATGGTCATTTTAACTTTTTTGTAGATCTTACTTTGCTGAACATTATTGCTGCTTACAGTTTATATATATCTATAATAATATTCAAAAAAAATAACAAAAAACTGCAAAATTTTGTTAAAACTACCAATTCGGTGGCAGCAACCTAACAATGGGTTGTTCTATTTGTCTGAAAATTTCAGGGCAGATAGATCTTGACCAATTAAACAATTTTACCCTGTCACATTTGCTCTAAAAGATTTAGTTTTTGAGATATAAGCCAAAAACTGCATTTGACCCTTATGTTCTATTTTTAGCCATGGCGGCCATGTTTGTCGATAGATACAAACCTCGGATACAATTTATAAACAAGATAACCTAAGGAACATTTATTTAAAGTTTGAAGGTAATTGGCCCAGTAGTTTCAGAGGAGAAGATTTTTAAATGTTAGCAAACTTGATGAACAAATTGTGTAAAATTGTCTTTAAAGGGCAATAACTCCTTAAGGGGTCAATTGACAATTATGGTCATATTAACTTTTTTATAGATCTTACTTTGCTGAACATTATTGCAGCTTACAGTTTATATATATCTATAATAATATTCAAAATAATAACAAAAAACTGCAAAATTTTGTTAAAACTACCAATTCGGTGGCAGCAACCCAACAATGGGTTGTTCGATTTGTCTGAAAACTTCAGGGCTGATAGATGTTGACCAATGAACAATTTTACCCAATGTCAGATTTGCTCTAAAAGCTTTAGTTTTTGAGATATAAGCCAAAAACTGCATTTGACCCCTATGTTCTATTTTTAGCCATGGCTGCCATGTTTGTCCATGGATCAAAACTTCGGATATAATTTATAAACTAGATACCCTAAGGAACATTTAGTTAAAGTTTGAAGGTATTTGGCCCAGTAGTTTCAGAGGAGAAGATTTTTTAAATAGTTTACGACGACAGGCGATGAGACGACGACGACAGACAACAGAAGACGACAGACGCCAAGTGATGGCATAAGCTCACATGGGGCCCTTAGAGCCCCGGTGAGCTAAAAACTGCAAAATTTCCTACCAATTTAGTGGCAGCAACCCAACAATGGGTTGTTCGATTCGTCTGAAAATTTCAGGACTGATAGATTTTGACCAATTGAACAATTTACCCCGTCAGATTTGCTCTAAAAGCTTTAGTTTTTGAGATATAAGCCAAAAACTGCATTTGACCCCATTGTTCTATTTTTCAGCCATGGCGGCCATGTTTGTTGATGGATCAAAACTTTGGATACAATTTATAAACTAGATACCCTAAGGAACATTTAGTTAAAGTTTAAAGGTATTTGGCCCAGTAGTTTCAGAGGAGAAGATTTTAAAATAATTTACGACGTCAGATGACCACGGAGACGGACGCCAAGTGATGGCATAAGCTCACATGGGGCCCTTTGGGCCCCGGTGAGCTAAAAAGTGCATCATTATAATTATACCTATTCTATAAAAATATTTCGTCATAGGTTAGAATGAAAATTTCAGAAGTTAATAGTCTGACTAATAGTCTTGGATAATTACATACACAAAATTTTAATTTTTTTCAACATATTCAATTTCAAGATCTAAATATAAAACTTTTCATCAAGGGGTTTTTACAAGATATGTAATGGTGGTGTCTGTGAACAAGTGTGTCTGATTTCTATTTTTTAAGTACATTTTTACGAATAAGAATTAATATGCCTAAATTTTAATTCGATGATGTGACGAAGAAACCAAAATAAATTTAATAAAATGCTTCGCTGAGCGCAGCCTGATACGACCGCAGTGGTCAAACCCTGAACAGTTGGGGAAAATTTGGACACAATATTCAAGCTTGATACTATCTGAATTTGGATTGTGATCAAATTTTTGACATAATATAGGTTTCTGACACAAAATAAATGTGGTCAAAGATCTTACAAATCTAAAGTGCAATACTGTGCAATTGAAGATTTCTTCTTGAAACTTTTCAAAAATTTTGAAAATTTTGAGAAAAAAAATATGAACCCTTTTAAAAAATAATTGGAGACCCCCCTTCCCCCCAAACTTTTTGAATCCCCCTTTTAGCATTAACCATCAAACTCAATTGCAGTCTTTCCTTTGTAGTATGGAACCTTGTAGTACAATTTTAGAGAGATCCATACACTTAATCACAAGTTACTGTCTGGAAAGTAGAAAAATGCTTTTTTTTTAACCATAAAATCCCATTTAAATACATCATAAAAGTATTAAAATAGAAAATGACATCATAGTCATGGCTAAAATTAAAAAACCTTCATCAGCAACTTTTAATAGTAATATCTAAAAATAAAATTCCTTCATCAGCATTTAAAAGTAACTTCTAAAAATAAATTGACAACTAGGACTTTGTAACCATAAAAATCCATTTAAATGCATCATAAAAGTATTGAAATAGAAAATGACATCATAACCATGCCTAAAATTTAAACACTTTCATCAGCAACATTAAATAGTAATATCTAAAAATAAAATTCCTTCACATACATAATCATGGCTAAAATTAAATAATTTTTCAAATAGAAAATGACATCATAATCATGCCTTAAATTAAAAAGCCTCCATCAGCAACATTAAATAGCAATACCTAAAAATAAAATTCCTTCACATACATAAACATGGCTATAATTAAATTACCTTTATTAAACATTTTTAAAATAGTAACTTCTAGAAATAAATTGACAGCTAATCACCTAAAGACAATACATTTCTTTATAAATAATTTAGAAGCAGTATAAGGGAGGTAATTTGACAATATGTGTTTGAATTACCTCCCTTACACAGTTTTAAAATTTGTTTTGAACGTAAGTAATTGTCCATTAATCTGGAAACCCTTGTTTTTCCCCCTTTTCTGCCCATAATTCCTAAACAGTTTGAGCCATAATCCCCCAAAGCAAATTCTTACCATCCCTTTGTGATATGGTAACTTGTGGTATAATTTCAGAGAGATCCATACACCATTTCACAAGTTATTGTCTGGAAACTAGAAAAATGCTTATCTGGGCCCCATTTTGGCCCCTAATTCCTGAACTATTAGGACCATAACCCCCAAAATCCCAACATTCCTTTTGTGGTCATAAACCTTATGGTAAAATTTCATAGAAATCCATACACTTAAACAAAAGTTATTGTCTGGAAACCAACCAGCTGAATAAATACTATAATTTAGTTGTTTTTACTTTTCATAATAAATTATCAATTGCAACTGTCAACAGCCAGTGTTCCAGTGGATACAAATATGCATTATTTAATTTACCCTTTCATCCCCAATCATGTCTTATCTCGTGCCCATCAATGCCCCAAGGCAGACTGAACGTTACATATGACTATATAGAATTGGGAGGGATGGACAGGCTGACAAACAGATGGACATTTTATTTGTATATACCGGGGTACCCCCCAAAATAATGTGTACCCTACAAGTAATAATGAATTCAGTGTCAGTAATTTAAGCCATAAAGATATATCTAAAAGTTGCATTAAACTTACTTTAATGACTGATTGTATGATCTGACAGAAAGCATTAGGTTCCACATAACCAGCTGTTACTTCAATAGGTGAACCATTCACAGCTATAAAATATACCGAAGGCACTGTAACAACTGGGTCTGATATCAGTTAAGGAATGAATCTCATAAACAAAATGTTACAGAGAACATTATACAGTACATATAAACAATATACAAATATTTAATGCATGTGTTAATTAAGAACATAATAAACACATAAACACAAAAAGTTTCTAAATGGGGAGGAATTGCTTTCTCCTTGAAGATCTTAATAAATACAATTTTCAAAATAAATTCATGGTTTCAAAGGAGGCAAACATGTGCAAAAGAAAAGGGTGTAATAATGGCCTGATGCAATATGTTTCACTCAAATTTGTACTTTTAATTTATTTATATACATAATTCTTTAGATTTAGAAGTATCCCACTTAAATAGCAATCTGATGAAGTGTGTCTGTTTAAGTACTATGATGGATTTAGCTTAGTTAAATAAAGAAAACAAAATATCCTAAACAAGATTAAACAAGAATGTGTCCATAGTACACAGATGCCCCACTCACACTACCATTTTCTATGCTCAGTGGACCATGAAATTGGGGTCAAAACTCTAATTTGGCATTAAAATTAGAAAGATCATATCATAGGGAACATGTGTACCAAGTTTCAAGTTGATTGGACTTCAACTTCATCAAAAACTACCTTGACCAAAAACTTTAACCTGCCCACTCGCACTATCATTTTCTATGTTCAGTGGACCGTGATATTGGGGTCAAAACTCTAATTTGGCATTATAATTAGAAAGATCATATCATAGGGAATATGTGTACTAAGTTTCAAGTTGATTAGACTTTAACTTCATCAAAAACTATTTGACCAAAAACTTTAACCTGAAGCGGGACAGACGGATGGAAGGACGAATGAGCTGACGCACAGACCGAAAAACATAATGCCCCTAGGTGGGGCATAAAAAAAAACTTTTAATCTAAGGGCACCAGTATGTATGTGAGTGTGTGACTGGGTGTGCTATTGCAAGTGGCCCAGTAACTTTGGCAACCAACATATACCAAACTACAACTACTAACTGTATAAAACAAAGATAAAATATAAAATTAAATATCTAAGTATAGCTTATCATCAATAAATTGCATGACATTGGCTGGATAGGATCTAAAGAATGATCACTTCACTGCACTATTTTGTTTGAAATATCAAAGGTAGTGATAAACCTTGGAAAATATAGATATCAAGTCAATACCATAAGGGTTTTGAATGCATTTCAAGGAGCTACCTCTATAACTATAAAGATTGCTTCAATCGCCAGCTTTGCTAATCCAGACTACAACATGTACAAAGGATTTTTGCCATGACAAAGGATATGTACTTGTTACTAGTATTTAATATCAAATTAAACATGTTAAAGAGTTTAACAATACTTTTAAGTGTTGCATTCTTAGCATATTTTATTTAAGAAATAATTCTTTCATGCCATGTTAAAATGAGCATAGAGCATGGCATGACAGAATTATTTCAATTCTAATAGGAATCTTTTGAACGTTTGTACTTCGAAGCGGACCTATAATATACGTTCAAATGCAGCCATTTTGATTTGATGAAGCTAAAACATCATAGAAAATCAAATGTTTCATGATTAAAAATAAACAAATACATGTAAACTTACTTTTAGAATGATTTTATTTAATTTCCTAGCAAGCAACACCAACAAAAATGTCCATTTTGATCTCCGGCGTAGTTCAAAATACAACTGATGTTGCAATTTCAATTGTGACGTCAATCATGTGCAGCACATGTTTTATTGAAATTCGAACATAGCTTTGTTTCCAAAGTGAAAGAAGAATGTCATATTAGAATACTTAATTAATTACATTGTCTGGACCTAATGCTTCACTCTTTTTTTAATATATGTTTTATTTTACCCTCTAAACATCTAGCAGATGCATTGGTCTCTTCTCTGAATTCAAAATTATTCTCTATTTCCTTCAACTTTTTTTTATATTTCTTGCATAAAATTTTCATCAACTGACTTGGATTACCTTGTTGTTATTACATGTGCTTATCAAATCCATCTTCATCTTGTATTACTGTCAGAATTTCCCTGTCCATTTATTTTTTATTTTTGAAAGGAGTAGGTTTGATAAGCATGATAAGGCCCTAAAATGGCCTCTTATTCTAGCTGAAAATTGAAATTAGGATTTATTGACCAACGTCACAAGGAATCATAGGTAATATAATGACTAGATTGGAAAAACGTCATTTTGTTGAAAATCTATGTTTTTGCGTTCTATTCATGATGACTTCACAAATAGCACTAATTTTGATTTTCTGCGTAAATTCGATGAAAACGGGTAAATTTACGATTTTTTGGAGAGGAAACGTAGAGTGCATGCGTCGACAACAAAGATATTTAAGCCTAATGTTTGTTATGACATTTTACATATCTGACTTGAATATTTTGTTTGTCGACACCTGCGCTCTATGTTTCCTAGGTCTTAATTTGGTTGAAATCCGGACGATTTTGTCCAATTTTGCAAAAGTTTCTATTTTTAACCTATTTGGGATGTCAAAATCAATGCTTGAAAATAAAACTCTGGCAAAAATAGTTCTATATAAATTTCTCACATGTCTTTTCATCAACTTAAAACACATTTTATCCTGAAACATTGAATTTAATAATAGAAGCCAAATTTGGTCCTTACCAAACTTACTCCTATTTAGTTATGTCACAGTAGTCTTTGGTTTATTTTTTTGAAATTATATTCTTTCTCAATTTTTGAAATTTTCTTACTTATTTATCATTTTGAATGATTACTAGTTAGACTAGGATATTTTTTCATTTTATTTCCAAAATTATTTATTCCTTTTTCATTTTATAAATTGTATTTAAAAAATATCCTGAAATGTGTTGACCCCTGATGCTGAACTTCCAACCCCTGATGCTGAACTTCCAATGTCTTGAGTCAACAAGTTGACCATTTTTGGACATCAGTCCAGGCAGATATATTGCAATCTATAACAAATTCTCCTATCATATCTAGGCAGACTGATTCGATGTACTTCAGATTGATGCAAAGTTGAGATTTTATCTGAAAAGAGTAAAATCAGCATTTAAGAAGTCTGAACATTATTAACCCACAAGTTGATAAAAAAGCAGATCTACAGTGGTAGTCTATGAAGTATCTGTTCTGTATCTTTATTGTTATACAATTTTTGGTATTTTGCTACATTGTATTACACAGGTTTTGACCCTTTTTTTATTACCTTTTTATGTAAAATTTAAAGAGGTTAAAGAAGATAAGCAGTATACAATGTACATAAATTAACTGTTAACACAGAGATATGTCTCGCCTATTTGTTATTTTGATAATGCAAATGTTGAAATTAAAATTACAATACTTTAACATGTAAGTTATGCAAATATTCCAAGTCAATGAACCATGACTGAATGTACAGGGCTAAACAGTCTCCATGGAAATGAGATGTGCCAATGCTAATACAACTGCAAACCAAATACCATTGACTTTTCATAAGTCGTTCCCTTTAAACAAACCTAAACACAAACATTAACTTGTAAACTATGTAAAAGTTTGAAAGTTAATGAACCATAATTAGGGGGTGGGGTTATATAATCTCCATGGAAATGAAACTTGCAAATGCCAATACATTTGCATACTGAATATCATTGACTTAACATTAGTGGTTCATCTTAAACTGACCTAATCACAAACTAATACATGTAAACTAAGCAAAAGTTTCAAAGTCAATAGACCATTACTGAGAAGTAAGGACCAAATATTCTCCATGGAAATAAGATGTGCTAATGCTTCTACAACTGCATACCAATTATCATTGACCTACCACTAACGGTTCCCCTTAAACTGACCTAATCACAAACTAATACATATAAACTAAGCAAAAGTTTTAAAGTCAATAGACCATGACTGAGGGGTCGGGGCCAAATAATCTCCATGGAAATGAGATATGCCAATGCTTATACAACTGCATACCAAATATCATTGACCTACCACTAGTGGTTCCCCATAAACTGACCTAATCACAAACTAATACATGTAAACTAAGCAAAGTTTCAAAGTCAATAGACCTTGACTGAGGGGGTGGGACCAAATCATCTCCATGGTAATGAGATGTGCCAATGAACTAGACCTAATCACAAACTTATACATTGTTGACGCCGCCGCCACCTTCGCCGACGCCGGAAACAGCATACCTATGTCTCGCTTTTTGACTCTGTCAAGGCGAGACAATAATGAGATAGCAACCCAACAACACAAAAATTCAACATCAATAGGTCATCTTAAGCTCTGTGAAATGATACTGACATTGAATAAACTTTCTCTGTATGGTGTCATATTCTGCTCATCACTGAAGACAACAGCCATGTAATAAGCTTCAGTAATTGTACTCTGTATTTATTGAGGATACTGTCTCATGTACATCTCCTCCCAAACATTTTATTTTGAGATGGACCAGTAATTTTCTTATACCAGAGCAAGTAAAGATGCAGCTTACTTGAATTCCACGATTGTGTTTATAATTAGTTTTACGATTTATATTTAAATGGTACATAAACACTCACTACACGTGTTTTAAAGGATACAAATCTGTGAGAAAAATCCACATTCTTCCCTGAAAACAAAAATAAAATACATTCATGACATGTCTTATTCTAAACTTGGACTAGTATATAAAATTTATCCATTTCAGATTTTGAAGCAAAAGTTTTCAAATGTCTGAGATAAAATTATCTTTTGACGATGTATTTCATGATAATCTCATCAAATCTATCAGTCAGAACTGATGAATTTTTGCACAACTAAGGATAACTGGTTAAAAATAATGCAATACTTAATATAGAAATCATATCCTTGATACCACATGGCCTAAAGAAACAACTATTTGACTAGGAGGAGGGGGTCAGGGGGAGGTTATGGTTTTTATATTAAAAAATTTTGCAGTCGTATATGGTATGACGTTGGCGTCGGCGTCTGGCGTTGTCGTCGTCCGAAAGACACATTGGTTTTCGCACTCTAACTTTAGTTTAAGTGAATGGATCTCTATGAAATTTTACCATAAGGTTTAATATCACAAAAGAAAGGTTGGGATTGATTTTGGGGATTATGGTACCACAAGTTAAGGAATTAGGGGCCAAAAAGGGGCCATAAATAAGCATTTTTGTAACTTCCAGACATAACTTGTGTGTTAGTGTATGGATCTCTCTGACATTTTACCACAAGGTTCCATATCGCAAAGGGAAGGCTGGGATTGATTTTGGGGGTAATTGCCTCAGTATTTTAGGAATTAGGGGCCAAAAAAGGGGCAAAAAACAAGCATTTTTCTATTTTCATGACAATAACTTGTTTGAAAGTGTATGGATCTTTCTGAAATTGTACTACAAGGTTCCATATCACAAAGGGAAAGCTGGAATTGAGTTTGGGGGTAATTGCCCAAAATGTTTAGGAATAAGGGGCAAAAAAGGGGCCAAAAATAAGCATTTTTTCTAGTTTCCAGACAATAACTTGTGTTCAAGTGTATGGATCTCTCTGAAATTGTACTGCAAGGTACCATATCACAAAAAGAAGGCTGGGATTGATTTTGGGGGTAATTGCCTCAAAATTTTAGGAATTAGGGACCAAAAAGGGGCAAAAACCAAGCATTTTTCTAGTTTCAGGACAATAACTTATGTGTAAGTGTATGGATCTTGATGAAATTGTACTACAAGGTTCAATATCACAAAGGGAAAGCTGGGTTTGAGTTTGGTGGTAATTGCCCTAAACAAATAGGAATTTCGGGCCAAAAAGGGGCCAAAAAACAAGCATTTTTTTAGTTTCCAGACAATAACTTGTGTTCAAGTGTATGGATCTCTCTGAAATTGTAACACAAAGGGAAGGCTGGGATTGAGTTTGGGGGTGATGAATCATAAGGGGGTTCAAAAAATTTGGGGAGGGGATTTTTTTTTCCTTTTTTTTTCTTTGAAATTTTCCATTTTAAATTGGTTATTTCTGATTTATATATAAAAGCAAATAATAATGATATGGTTTGAATAGGTAAATTAAAAAATTTTAAGTTCTTAGACCACATTCATTCTGTATCAGAAACCTATGCTGTGTCAAATATTTAATCACAATCCAAATTCAGTGCTGTATCAAGCTTGAATGTTGTGTCCATACTTGCCCCAACTGTTCATGGTTCGACCTGTGCAGTCGTATCAAGCTGCGCCCAGCGGAGCATTTTATTTATATTGTTTTGAATTTTTTTACAGATGGACAGATCAACTACAATCAAACCAAAATTTTTTTCTTTTCTTACCAAGACGAAACAGAACTTTTTTTCACAGACAGTAACATATGTATATTCCTACGAAACAGCTACAATAAATAAAGCTGCTATATACTATAAATTTGTTTTTATAAAATATTCAACAGAACTTGCATAAGTACATTATTTTTAATGGTACATATAGGTGGATATTCATGAGACAGGCAAAATCTTCTATTAAACATCCTTTAAACAAAGGGTTAAGTTGAAATGTATTTATAAAAGATTTTCTCGCTGTGTTGAAGACCCATTGGTGGCCTTGGGCTGTTTTATGCTCTTTGGTCGGGTTGTTGTCTCTTTGACACATTCCCCGATTCTATTCTCAATTTTATACAAAGTTTACAAAAGTATCTGCAATGTAAGTAGAGTCATGCAGATATTGAGTAGATGTACATGTACATGCATTTATATGTATATTTAAAGTACCAATACTATGATTGTTGCACTCCATCTTGATGATTAATCACTGAAAGGTTAAGTATGAAGTTAAGAAAATCTTTTAAGTTCAAATAAAGCATTAGTCAAGTATATAATAATCACGGGTCTAAAGCATTTCTTATGATGCCTGGAATTCAACTTTGTTTTTAAAAACACCTCAATAAGAAAATTTTTTTTTTTTATTATTTTGTAAAACATAATATTTTTTTTCTGGCCAAAATGCTTTGACAGATTATTTTTTTTTTCCCTATATAGAATCAGAATAATTTTTTTTCTAGAAAAAGAAACTGTTGACACAGAGAAAGATATGTCTTGTCTGTGGACATAAAATTAAATAAATGGGGAATGTGTCCATGGGACACAGATGATGCCCCCGCTTGCATATCATATAAAGTTATAAAGGGATATAACTGAAGAACAGTAAAAGTGACACTACCCAAATTTGTCCTTGATCTGAGTTGTGTGGTAATAAGTATTGTGTATAAGTTTCATAACATTTGGTTGAGGCAAACTTAAGTTAGAGAACGGAAACGAAAAATTCAGCAATTTTTCTGTTTGTAAAGGGGCATAACTCTAGAACAGTAAAAGTGACACCACCAAAATTCAAACTTGATCTGTGTTTTGTGGTAATAAGCATTGTGTATAAGTTTCATAACATTTGGTTGAGGCAAACTAAAGTTAGAGAACGGAAACGAAAAATTCAGCAATTTTTCCATTTGTAAAGGGGCATAACTCTAGAACGGTTAAAGAGATGCCACCAAAATTCAAACTTGATCTGTGTTTTGTGGTAATAAGCCTTGTGTATAAGTTTCATAACATTTGGTTGAGGCAAACTAAAGTTAGAGAACAGAAACCAACTTTGGGATGTAGGGACGGATAACAGACGGACAAGAGTAAAACTTAATGCCCCCTCCGCTTCGGCAGGGGCATATAAAAAAGACAATAAGATGGACAGCAACATTACCAATTAATTCATAGTCGCTGGACCAAGAAACTAGGGGCAGGGCCTTGAAATGGTCGACAAACTGAGATGTACTAATAGTTATGCAACTTTATAGAAAATATCATTGTCTATCACAAGTAGTTCCTGTCAAACTAACTTAAGCAGAAAACTTAACATTGAAAATTGGTAATTAATTGAAAGTCACTGGACCATGACCTACAGGGCAGGGCCTTGAAATAAGTCTTCAAACTGATATGAACTGATAGAAATGCAACTTTATAGAAAATATCATTGATTTATCACAAGTACTTCCTATCAAACTGACTTAAAGGGGCATTAGCTGTCAAATTCATCATTGTTCATGTTCACCGATTTGACTCAAATTCTCATATTTGAATTATGACATACTAAAACGTATATATCTAAATAACAAAATGTCTAAAAAAAACAATTAACAATGCATGGACTCAATAATATATATTAGCATTTCGTGTTATTTTAGTCTAGACGCCTTCTAATTAACCATTGAGATGACCTCCAAAGACTGCTGACGATCATATAAACTGATATAAACATAGATATAAGTATAAATGTAAATAGATAGTGACCACGTGCAATTTGATTTTTCTAGGTCTGTTTGATTTCATGTTATTGGTTAAAATCTATGTTAATCATCGTTTTTACCTGTATATATAAGAATGATTTTTTGTGAATCAAATAATCAACGAAATGGTTCACCCTTGTTTCACTTTCAATGTTGACATTCTTTTCTTTTAATTTCTGAACATGCCTAGTACATGGTAAACCCATCTCTAGATAAGAGGTTAGATTGAAGATTCACATGAGGTCGAATTATTCACTTGCAAGTCAATTATATATCAGTGATGTGTTTGAGCTTATTTTGACAAATTTTGGCCAAACAAGCTGCTTATAACGAAATCTTATTTCAAATTCGGCTTTTATTTATACTCGAAACAAAAAGAAACATATTTTAAATTTTGTCTAAATTGTAGCTAATGTGCCTTGAAAGTCGCTGGACCATGACCTAGTGGGCAGGGCCTTAAAATAGTGTCTAACTGATAGGTACTGATAGTAATGCATCTTTATAGAAAATATCTTTGATCTATCATAAGTTGTTCCTATCAAACTGACTTAAGCAGAAAACATAACAATTGTAGACACAGACGATGCTGCAGGAAAAGCAACACCTATGTCCTGCCTTCTGCAACTTTTGTTGCAGGCGAGACAAAAACATACCCACTTTTGAGTTAAATGGTTTTTCCTTAAACAGTGTTCATTATCATAGTAATATTATAATCCAATATAAAAATAGGGAAAAAAAACATGAATGCATAAACTATTACCCATTAGCTTTCAATGTTAGAGCTACACAGTGTTCAGCTCCACACAATGCTGTTACCTCTGTGTTTTCCAAAGTGGCATCCATTTTTTTTGAAAGTTCATCTTGACCTGTGAAATATAAAAGGAATAATAAATTCTTTATTTAAAGAGAAGAATGCAGGAGCTAATCTAAAATTCTTATTTCTTTGACAGTTCTCAAAACCATATATACTGCATACTTGCAGAATGCTCATCACAAACTTGCGACATGCATGCTGCATGCACACATCATAATTTTATCACAATCTTGTGGCAAACATAACTTGTTTTTGATTGCACGATGGTTGCCCATGGCAAGCTAGTAGATGATTATGTAACTTTCTGTACAGTGATCCTCTCTATCCTAATTATGACTTTTTATGCCCTGATATGACCTTTTAACATGTTTAAAGAACAAAAAATTAACTGTCAATTTTCTCATTTGCATTTGTACTAGGGCTGTATTGTACCTAAATTCACAGGAACTTGGGTATATGATAGCAATATTGTTGTATTTGTCATTTTTTGCTTCAAATATTCAACTTTCAATCAATTTACCAACCACTTATTGTACTATCCATACTAAGGTAGTATGAATTAGTGTAGAAATTTGAAAATTTCAAGCAAAACATTACAAATACAATATCAGTATCATGTACCAAAGAGCCAGTGCCCTCCCCTTTTCCAATTTTTAAGGAATCTGGATTTTCTTCGACATCAAATTCTATTGAAGTGTGATGCACCTAGACTGACTGCTACATGTAGATATATAAATATGGTATCAAGTACATTTGTATATAATAAATAATAAAGAGAGTAAATGTATAAGCTTTCTAAAAACTAAAGTTGAAGGTTTAAGTGCTTCCCTATCCTAAAGGAATAATACCACCATTGTTTTCTATTAGTCTTTGTTAAATTGGCATTTTTCAAAATATTGTGCAAAATTTTATCTTTGTTTCAAATAAAGGAATACTTGGCATTAGTAAAGTTTTATCCTGTCCTGTACTATAGTAAAAATTTCACATAACATTTCATTGCATATATGATAATAAATAACCATCACCAGAAGTTAACCGTCAAATTTTCACCCCTTTTCCTGTTTACAAGCTTTAGTAACAATGTCACCTCAAGTTTCCAAAAATATTTATAGAAACACAAAAATAAAAAAATAATGGTGCATTGAAAACTGAGATGTACTGATAGTTATACAACTTTATAGAAAATATCATGTCTATCACAAGTAGTTCATATCAATCTAACTTAAGCAGACAACTTAACATTGAAAAATGCCAATTAATTCAAAGTCACTGGACCATGACCTAAGGGGCAGGGCCTCAGAATAGCCATCAAACAAATATGTACTGATAGTAATGTGACTTCATACAAAATATCATCGATCTATCACAAGTAGATCCTATCAAACTAACGCAAGCAGAAAACTTAACATTGAAAATTACTTATTAATTCAAAGTCACTGGACCATGACTGAGGGGGCAAGGCCTCAAAATAGTCATCAGACTGATATGTACTGATAGTAAAGCAACTTCATGTTAAATATCAATGATCTATCACAAGTAGATCCTAACAAACTAAATTAAGCAGAATACTTAACATTAAAAATTGCTAGTTAATTCAAAGTTGCTGGAACATGACCTAGGGGGGCAAGGCCTCGAAATAGTCATCAAACTGATATGTACTGATAGTGATGCAACTTTACATTAAATATCAATGATCTATCACAAGTTGTTCTTATAAAACTATCTTAAGCAGAACACTTAACAATTGTTGACGTCACTTCGTCGACAAAAGCAATCCCAATGTTCCCTTCTGAATCTAAAACAAATTATATTTTCCTCCCTTAATAACAATAAAAAAAACATGGCCTAAATGACTTTACAACATGTACAAAGTATGACCAAACTGGCACTATGGACGGCTAAAATGACTGTGGCCAAAACATCTTGCATGGGAATCTACTTAGCCATACTGGTGGGTACAAGTCAAATCGGCACCTACATTGTACAATGTATAGAAAAAGACAAATTGGCTAAAGTTATTTCAGCATTTGGTTTGTCAATTTGGCACCAAATATATTTTTGACCTTTTTCTTTCCTTTTTATTTGAGGTATCGGGAGAACAGTTTTTCGTTTTTTTTTTATATATTTTTTTGCCAAACGTACAATTGCAGAGGTTACATGTAATAAAAAAGATACATTTCCTACATCCTTAAAAAAATTCAGCATATGTAATTAAGCAGTTAGAATACACAATAAAAAATAATCAATTGTTTGCTGTTTAAAGTTTTCTCAATATTTTATTAATTAAGTTTCATTGGGTATCATTTTAAAAAGTTATGGTATTAATTATAAACAATAACCCACTTGTTTTTTTTAAACATTTTCATGTAGTTTTTGATGTTTTATAATTTAAATGACTTAGATTAAATACAATATAAAGAAGCCATTACCCAAGCTATTGTTATATAGTTTTATGAGAAAAAAAACAAATCTAAATTCTTTTTTCTGCATTTCCTGTCTACTTATATAAAATGAATAACGCTGGCACCAATTTTGTATGTTTACTAGCAACGTACAGTCATGACAGTTGTCATGAAATGGATGTTCCTTGATAATATATGTTCCAGTAGGAACAGATATTATGGCATTGTTTATAACAAAGTTTCCATTGGAACTTCTGTTATGCATAACAAATATACGTTGACACCTTGAGCAAACCACCTGATACCTTATTCATGACTCTGGGTCCAACTGCCCAACAGTCTTTTTGTAGCATGCTTAGCAGAAGACCTTGATAGTAAAAGTACACTGGCAACCTGTTGTGTTTGCTTATCGCTACACTAACGAAGCAGAGCTTTTATATGGAATTGCAGACCAGTTTAAAGTAACTAAAAGAAATTGAACCAAATTGTTGTAGACCTGCATTGGAGATACAATGTATAAACATGATAAAGGTAGACTAACTGGTTGAGTTAAAGAAGATCTCAATTGGCTCAATTGGTTAAAGCGCTGCCTTTAGATCTCGATATTGAGAGTTTGAATCACGCTTGTACCATCCATGGATTTTCACAACATTGGTGCTGCGAGCATCTACTAATGGTACACACGAGTGTATGTAAGTGCCTGGCAGTTTGATATGGTCGTAAGATTTGACCTTAATTCATTGGATGACCGTGACATGTCTGGGTGACACGCAGGGAACTAGCCAGAGGGTTTCCAGGTGAAAGACTCGGGTTGTACAGTAGTGGACCTGTGAGCTGCTCGGATGGATGGTACGCAGCCCAAAAAAGGAAAGGGGGAAGAGTGTTGTAGACCTGGAGATATAAAGGTAGTTTAACTGGATGAGTTAGAGAAGATTTTCTTTAGCTCAACTGGTTACAGCGCTGCCTTTAGATTCCGAGATTGAGAATACACCTTATCGCTATTTAGTCCAATCCGGAAAAAACAGTCATTTAGACAACTTCCTGTTTGGGTCAACAGGCCGCAAACAAAGGTCATCAGTAACGAGCTGAGGGAGGGAAAAATTTAGAAAGCGATCAATAGGAAACTTTGATAGATTATGATCCACTTTTTCCAAACTCAAATTATAGTTAAAACAATATTGTGTTTGAAGTATTTACGATGTTTTGAACAGGTCTCATTAAAAAGTATCATGCATGGTGCATTGTTTAAACAGGGTCCCAGATAGCTTCAACTGGATGAAAAAGTTGTGTAATTTTAGAACTTATCCGGAATGTAATAAATAGCGATTAGGTAGCAATACACAGTTAGGAGTTTGGTTTCGCATTTTGGCCCCGGTGGATTTTTCAAATATGACAGTTATTGTGTAATAAAATTCATTTTTAGACAGCTGAGTACTAATTTAGCCTTCAAAGGTGGTTTATAAGAACATCAAGATTATTTTTTTACATGTTTTATGGGCTATTTTCTGTTTGACTCTCCGTATTTTCATAGCTAGACCGGTCATCGGTCCAGAAATTAATGTAATGTTTACAAACACTTTTTTTCTACACGAAGTTTTTGATGCAATTTTACAAAACTAGAGGCTCTAAAGAGCCTGTGTCGCTCACCTTGGTCTATGTGCATATTAAACAAAGGACACAGATGGATTCATGACAAAATTGTGTTTTGGTGATGGTGATGTGTTTGTAGATCTTACTTTACTGAACATTCTTGCTCCTTACTACTATCTCTATCTATAATGAACTTGGCCCGGTAATTACAGTGGAAAATACTTTGTAAAAATTTACAAAAATTTACAAAATTTATGAAAATTGTAAAAAATTGACTATAAAGGGCAATAACTCCTTAAGGGGTCAATTGACAATTTTGGTCATGTTGCCTTATTTGTAGATCTAACTTTGCTGTACATTATTGCTGTTTACAGTTTATCTCTATCTATAATAATATTCAAGATAATAACCAAAAGCTGCAAAATTTTCTTAAAATTACCAATTCAGGGGCAGCAACCCAACAACGTGTTGCCTGATTGGTCTGAAAATTTCAGGGCAGATAGATCTTGACCTAATGAACAATTTTATTCTCATCAGATTTGCTCTAAATGCTTTGGTTTCAGAGATATGAGCCAAAAACTGCATTTTACCCTATGTACTATTTTTTAGCCATGTCAGCCATCTTGGTTCGCGAGCAGGGTCATCGGACACATTTTTTAAACTAGATACCCTAATGATGATTGTGGACAAGTTTGGTTAAATTTGTCTTAGTAGTTTCAGAGGAGAAGATTTTTGTAAAAAATTACAAAAATTTATGAAAAATGGTTAAAAATTGACTATAAAGGGCAATAACTCCTTAAGGGGTCAACTGACCATTTTGGTCATGTTGACTTATTTGTAGATCTTACTTTGCTGAACATTATTGCTGTTTACAGTTTATCTCTATCTATAATAATATTCAAGATAATAACCAATAAAATGCTTCGCTGGGCGCAGCTTGATACGACCGCAGATGTCGAACCCTGAACAGTTGGGGCAAGTATGGACACAACATTCAAGCTTGATACATCTCTGAATTTGGATTGTGATTAAATATTTGACACAGCATAGGTTTCTGACACAGAAAGAATGTGGTCTAATAACTTCAATTTTTTTAATTTACCTATTATGGTCCAATGTCCAAAATCAAAATACATGGTTAGATTCAGCATATCAAAGTACCCCAAGAATTCAATTTTTGTTAAAATCAAACTAAGTTTAATTTTGGACCCTTTGGACCTTAATGTAGACCAATTTAAAAAACGGGACCCAAAATTAAAAATCTAAAAACACGGTTAGATTTGGCATATCAAAGAACCCCAATAATTCAATTTTTGATGAAAATCAAACAAAGTTTAATTTTGGACCCTTTTGACCTCAATATGAACCAATTTGATAGCGGGCCCACAAATAAAAAATCTAAATACATGGTAAGATTCAGCATATCAAAGAACCCCATATATTCAATTTTTGTTGAAATCAAACAAAGTTTAATTTTAGACCCCAATTTGGACCAACTTGAAAACTGGGCCACAAATAAAAAATCTAAATACATGGTAAGATTCAGCATATCAAAGAACCCCATATATTCAATTTTTGTTGAAATCAAACAAAGTTTAATTTTGGACCCCAGTTTGGACCAACTTGAAAACTGGGCCAAAAATCTAAAATCTAAATACATGTTTAGATTCAGCATATCAAAGTACCCCATATATTCAATTTTTGTTGAAATCAAACAAAGTTTTATTTTGGACCCCAACTTGGACCAACTTGAAAACTGGGCCCATAATCAAAAATCTAAACACATGTTTAGATTCAGCATATCAAAGAACCCCAAGAATTCAATTTTTGTTAAAATCAAACTAAGTTTAATTTTGGACCCTTTGGACCTTAATGTAGACCAAATTAAAAAACGGGACCCAAAATTAAAAATCTAAATACACGGTTAGATTTGGCATATCAAAGAACCCCAATAATTCAATTTTTGATGAAATCAAACAAAGTTTAATTTTTGACCCTTTTGACCTCAATATGAACCAATTTGATAGCGGGCCCACAAATAAAAAATCTAAATACATGGTAAGATTCAGCATATCAAAGAACCCCATATATTCAATTTTTGTTGAAATCAAACAAAGTTTAATTTTGGACCCCAGTTTGGACCAACTTGAAAACTGGGCCAAAAATCTAAAATCTAAATACATGTTTAGATTCAGCATATCAAAGAACCCCATATATTCAATTTTTGTTGAAATCAAACAAAGTTTTATTTTGGACCCCAACTTGGACCAACTTGAAAACTGGGCCCATAATCAAAAATCTAAACACATGTTTAGATTCAGCATATCAAAGAACCCCAAGAATTCAATTTTTGTTAAAATCATACAAAGTTTAATTTTGGACCCTTTGGACCTTAATGTAGACCAATTTGAAAACTGGATCCAAAATTAAAAATCTAAATACACGGTTAGATTCGGCATAACAAATAAATAAATGTGGTCAAAGATTTTACAAATCTAATGCGCCATACTGTGCAATTAAAGATTACTTCTTGAAATTTTTCAATATTTGAAATTTGAAAAAAAAATAATATTTGAAGAATAATTCTTTTTAATTTCTGAAATCTGAAATGAGAAAAAATTGACCCCCCACAATTTCTTTTTACCCCCCCCCCCTTTTTTTCCCCAAACCATAATTACCCATTTAAATTTACCATAGTGCTAACTTAATCTATTTTATAATAGAAGTTAAAATATAGTGTCAAATCTTTCATATGGATTTTTTTGTAAAAAAAAAGATGCAACATTTGCAGATATTTTTACTGGTCTTCCTTTATAAATATGCATTTCTTTAAACATAATTTAAAAGCAGTGTAAGGGAAGTAACCAAAACGTTGTATTTGGAATACCTCCCTTACACTGTTTTAAATTATCTTAATTGTTCATTAACCATTACTTTATACATAATTTAAAAGCAGTGTAAGGGAGATAATTTCAATGATGTATTTGATTTATCTCCCTTACACTGCTTTAAATTATGTTTTGTACTAAAGTATTTGTCCATTAACCAGGACAACCTTGTTTTTCCCCCTTTTTTGCCCCTAATTCTTAAACGGTTTGAGCCATAACCCCCCAAAGCAAATCCTAAACATCCCTTTGTGGTATGGAAACTTGTAGTATAATTTCAGAGAGATCCATACACCGTTCCACAGTTATTGTCTGGAAACTAGAAAATGCTTATTTTTGGCCCCTTTTTGGCCCCTAATTCCTTAACTGTTGGTACCATGACCCCCAAAATCAATCCCCACCTTCCTTTTGTTGTATTGAACCTTATGGTGAAATTTCATAGAGATCCATTCACTTAAACTAAAGTTAGAGTGCGAAAACTAATGCGTCTTCGGACGACGACGCCGGACGACGCCGACGACGACGACAACGACGCCGACGACGCCAACGTCATACCAATATACGACCACAAAAATTTTTTTGCTGTCGTATAAAAACGGCAAAATTTCCTTAAAATTACCAATTCAGGGGCAGCAACCCAACAACAGGTTGCCTGATTGGTCTGAAAATTTCAGGGCAGATAGATCTTGACCTGATAAACAATTTTACCCTTAGTCAGATTTGCTCTAAATGCTTTGGTTTCAGAGATATATGCCAAAATCTACATTTTACCCCTATGTTATATTTTTAGCCATGGCGGCCATCTTGGTTGGTTGGCCGGGTCACCGGACACATTTTTTAAACTAGATACCCCAATGATGATTGTGGCCAAGTTTGGTCAAATTTGGCCCAGTAGTTTCAGAGGAGAAGATTTTTGTAAAAGTTTACGGACGACGGACGACGGACGCAAAGTGATGAGAAAAGCTCACTTGACCTTTCAGGTCAGGTGAGCTAAAAATGAGATGAAAGACATATGATTTTCATTGGATTTATTGAAAGATATATGTAAACATTTTCAGAAAAGGTATTACTTGAAGTGATTGAAATTCTACTTTTGGTCAAATTTGGGGGAAATATGTGACATCTTTTCCCCCCTTTTTGCTATATTTTATAACAAAAAAATGCAGATTGTTGCCATGGATACACCAAAAAGAAATTATATTTTACAATTTTATATACTGGATATGAAATCTATGGAAGATTCTGATTACATACATATACACATATATGACACAAACAGTAAGCTTAATATTGCAAGAAGGCAATGAAAAAGGGATGGTAAAATTTATGAGGGAAAATTTTAATATTTTTTCCTAACTGTTTATTGCTACCTTATGGCATACTTACCAAGCTCAGTATTGTATAATTTAAGACTTTTCATACCACAAATCTATTGATATTTAGATTCTAAATCAACTTCTGAAGGGATAAAGTGTTTAAGAATGATAATACATGTCAATTTTATTGTTTACAGTCCTTAGCAACCAAAATTAGACATTTTGACACAAGGCTTATAATAGTACTCTGTTTGCTAAACCCTTGCTTCTGAAGGGTTGCGCAGTATGTAGTAGCCTAAGTATTGAATGCTTTGTATTTTTTCTTGCGAATATATCAAATTATTATTTTTATCAAGATTTCATGTTACATTTTGACATATATTAAATGTGTAGTTGATTCAGCTGTAAGAAATTGATTCCCCATTACCAAGTTTTTTAATCAAGTCTTTGGTATACATTAAACATAAAGATTAACATTATCATGCTTGAAATTGTTAAATTTTGTACAATTTTGCATCATCAGAGGTCTTATAAAGATTTTCAACATTAAAAAACTGACAAAAAGGTATAGTTTTTAAGATTTTGCCAAAAATTGAGGTAGAAATAAGATTTTACACTTTGACTTGGCACCTTTCTTTAAATCAGTTTTTGTCGCGTTTCAGTGTCAACTGCTAACCTTCATAAAATATTCATTACTCAACCAATTTTCAAAATAAAAGGCCATTTTACTTGTCTTAGCTAGCAGAACACAGAAAATTAGTTAAAAGGGAGAATTTGAAAAAAATATTCACTATTAAGGTACAATGTAGCAATACACAGTTAGGAGTTTGGTTTCGCATTTTGGCCCCGGTGGATTTTTCAAATATGACAGTTATTGTGTAATAAAATTCATTTTTAGACAGCTGAGTACTAATTTAGCCTTCAAAGGTGGTTTATAAGAACATCAAGATTATTTTTTTACATGTTTTATGGGCTATTTTCTGTTTGACTCTCCGTATTTTCATAGCTAGACCGGTCATCGGTCCAGAAATTAATGTAATGTTTACAAACACTTTTTTTCTACACAAAGTTTTTGACGCAATTTTACAAAAAAATGAGATGAAAGACATATGATTTTCATTGGATTTATTGAAAGATATATGTAAACATTTTCAGAAAAGGTATTACTTGAAGTGATTGAAATTCTACTTTTGGTCAAATTTGGGGGAAATATGTGACATCTTTTCCCCCCTTTTTGCTATATTTTATAACAAAAAAATGCAGATTGTTGCCATGGATACACCAAAAAGAAATTATATTTTACAATTTTATATACTGGATATGAAATCTATGGAAGATTCTGATTACATACATATGCACATATATGACACAAACAGTAAGCTTAATATTGCAAGAAGGCAATGAAAAAGGGATGGTAAAATTTATGAGGGAAAATTTTAATATTTTTTCCTAACTGTTTATTGCTACCTTAGGTGTATTCGAATCCGGTTGGTACCATCCATGGATTTTCACAACAAAATTTACGGATACAAAAAATGTCGGAGTACACATATACCTGTGATATATACTATAAATATGCGTTTCTCTCTTTTTGACTTTTGAATGGCGTCACCAATGGATCCTGAAAACCATTTCATTATGCAAACAGCTGTAAGTTAAAGTGTTATTACTATAGTATCGATATATATGTTGGATTTTTTAACCGGAAGTTGTTTAAACCGAAACCGGAAGTGTTTACTTTTGTTTCTTCTAACAAAAGAGTTGAGTGCTATTAAAAATAAATCCATCAGGAAATTTGTTTTTTAAAGAGAGTGCATATGTAAAGTTAACGATATAATTCTGAAAATGAAAAGAATTAAGTTTGTCTGACAATATTACACAGCCATCAAGACATATTTGTTGGACAGCTTATGAGTGCTTCTACTGTCATGACAGTTGCTTGTGTCAACATTGATATATCATGATTGAAGACATTGATGATAAATTTAGATGATGTCAGTTAATATGGTGGGTTTAAATAATATGAGGCAGGCATTACCTGTGAAAGGGGACGAAGTCTGTATGAATTATTTTTTTTAATTCAAACATAATTATTTTAACTTCAAAATCTGTTAAAAAAGAAACGGAAATACCGTAACGTAACCGATTTCGGTTCTGTTGTTAGGGATTTTAGTTGTGACGTTATTCATGTTATGATGTCATATTCAATGTAAACAAAGAAACGCTATCATCAGGTAACGGTTTTTCATATCAAGCCATTCCAGGAATTATCAAAAATGAAATTAGGTATTGCGTTCCTTCCTATATTTTACCCAAAGACCCATGCAAACGAGACCGGAAAAAAGGAAGTAGATTTCTGTGCAAATGCGGGAAAACAAAAAAGTCTGAAAATAAAAAAGTTAACGATTTTGAGTTCATAAGTACAATGAAAATTTCAGGAATTTTTCCCGATTTTTTTTTTTTTTTTTTTTTTTTTAATTTTATTGATTTTTCTACCGTAATAGGGGACTTCGTCCCCTTATTAAATGAGACAACATTCTATTAAGACGATACTTTTACAAAATGATAGGGTTACCGTTATATGAGGTATGTGCTGCCTGCTGAGGTCCTGAAGGTTGTTGGTGCATGTTTTTTTTTGTTTTATGGGTATCATTTAAAATTTTCTCTTTTAAGTTCTAACCATGCTTACATCACATGACATCATCATGGAATAAATAATCCATCTGTAAGTGTAAAGTTTGAATATCCAAGTAGCTAAAGCACTGCAGCATCAACATATATTTTTCATCTAGTAGATACATGTAATTTGATCTGCAATATACAAGTAAGATAAAGATGCATGTATTTTGTACATGTATATTCAGTTGAACAGTTTGGTTTTAGAAAAATTAAAACAAATTGCAATTTGGCCAGAATATTGAATAAGTTGCAATAGGTGGAGAGCAACACTAACAGTCAAGTCACAGTAATTCAAATGATGTCTGATTCTTATGAATATACATGTAGAAGACTTTTCGAAAGAAAAATTGTATGAAATCTTAGTTTGGACATTTTTATAGCAATTCAAAATTACTACCTATCGCCTTAAGCTTTAGCATGACAATAACAATAAAATTTCTATACAATCTGTTAGACTGCTGTTTCATAATAACATTGAAGTGAAATTAAAGTCTTATAGGATTGTAAGTATACTTTATTTTGTCACCTTGCACTTTCATGACTTGACTGTGGTTTTCTACAGCAGTTTGTAATTGTTCAAATTTCTGACCAGTTGAACAGTTTGGTTTTATAAAACAAATTGCAATTTGGTCAGAATTTTGAATAAATTGCAATAGGTGGAGAGCAACACTAACAGTCAAGTCACAGTAAATAGGTGATTTAGAGAAAGTCAACTCTTACTTCCAACATTTCTGGAAAAATGTTACTTGAATCAGTGATAATTAAAGAAAGACAACTCTTACTTCCAACATTTCTGGAAAAATGTTACTTGAATCGGTGATTAATCACTCATTTAATTAGGTCCCCTGACTGTACCAACTGATTATAAAATTTTTTAAAGAATTATAATAAAATGCCATATAAAACAATTAGACTACATCATTAATCATGCCTTGGATTTCAGTAATCCCCCAAACAATATCTTTGACCATGCAGACAGCATACCCATGGTGAACCAATAAGGTCATAAAAATGCACATGCAACCATACTCACCAATAGTCTATATGTAAACCTGTCCTAGTGCAGTTTTCTTGCACATAAGGTATTCCCAATTTTGCCTGTATGCACCACCAAAAGCAGTTTTCCACATGTTTGTCCCACAGCTAAAATACTGAGAGTACTAGTACTAGTACTTTCTTATATTTCACAATAATCCATTAATAACTTGTACAGGACAGCCCTATTCCAGCTGTTTGACAAAATTGTCATGTTAACTCAAATCATGGTTATAATTACATCCACAATTTCTACATAAGCATATTTCAACAACTGATAATATTCAGTATTTTCCTCCGTCACAGTCCCACCAAACTGAAATTAATTCAGTTACAATGTATTTTCAAAAGACCACTTAGCATGATTAGAGGTCTATTTGACAATAAAAACAAACAACAAGATGATTAAATCTAGATAGTACAAAACTGACTTCTAATGGTTTTTACATGCAAGACCAATATAAGCTGGACAAGTGTCCAGTATCTATACATATATGATCCATGAGAGCACAGCATACACATGTATTGAACATTGACTATAACATTTGTATTATTTAAGGTACAAGTTTTGAAATAATGTTGATATTTCCCTCCTCTCCAAGAACATGAAGAAAAGCAAAATAATTGCTATTATATTTACATCCACACTGAAAAGACTAGATACAAACAAACTGACAGACTAAATGCAAATACAAAAAGTAATTTATCAAACAAAAAATTTAAACAAGATACCATTTGACTAAATAAACAAATTAAACAGCTTTTTTTCAGAATTAGGATGTAAATGAGTAATCCCCACTGGTAACTCCATACCATCATTCTGCAGATGTCATGTGTTTTGAAGTCGAAAACTAAATATACAATGTACATATTTTTTTTTTAAATTTAGATAGAGAATAAAGAGTTTTCAACTGTTTTAATATCTTCTTGTTTTTACTGATCAGATTTTTTAAACAATGACGTGCAAACTTTGTTTTGATTTCAGTTATGTTCATTAATTACAGTAAGATTCAGCTTTACCATGCTTACCATGCCCTAGGTTATAATTTTTGACCTTTTTGAATTTATTTTCAGTGGAAACATTGTAGTGAGATATAATTTTATATATTTTAGACTGACGTCCGGTCTCTAATCAACGTCCGTTCCTCAAATTGACGTCCAAATCTGACGTCACGTTCTCAAATCAGTGTCCAATATTTTAACTCTCTAATCGACGTCCAATGTGACGTAATGAATCACAAAAACGACTTCTGAGAGATGAGGAGACTCTCATCACGATGTCTAATTTCATTGAATTATTTATTTTTTAATTGATCTTTGTTTATATTATCTGTATCGTTTTGTCTTTTTGTGAAGTAGCTTACAGAAACTATATAACTGTTTTCTTATATTGTTATCAAATCAAAAGGACAAACATCAGACAATGACAATAAGACAATCACCAACATCATATAACCATTACATATACATGCATATTAATATTTTGGTGAAAGACTTTCATATTCTCTACCTACGTTGTCATTTTCCTTTCTTTTTCATATGAATAAATGACATTTGGGTATACATTGTACGACAATGAAACAACAACCCAAAAACTAAGATAACCAAAAGACATCTAGAGGGCAGTATACACTATACAGACTCAAATAATAGAAAGTATCATAGTGTTCAGCCAATTTTTGAAAAGTGTTATGATTTGGACTTATATTTTTCAACAACTTTTTAAGTTTTAGGTTCAACCCATCCTTTGATAGAGTTGTGATTTCACTGCGACAAGTCCACAAAACGGACGTCGTTTAGAGAAGCCAAAAATTGGACATCATTCGAGAACAGCAAAAAAGACGTTGATTAGAGGGGCATAAAATTTGCCGTCAATTAGGAATGTTATTTTATAGACTATTATTGTGACGTCAGATTTGGACATTGATTTGAGGAATGGATGTCGATTAGAGACCAGACGTCAATTTGAGTCTTACATATATATTCAAATATATCTCACAATAACGATAAAAAAAAACCAAATAAACTTGTATTAGTATGTAACCAAAAAATTTATAAAAAATATGGGGAAAATGATCTGAAACAAAAAGAAATGACTGATGTATTAATTGGTCCATGTCATTGCAGGAACATGATCATCACTGTCATTTTGAAAACCAATATTTCAAGAATTTTTCAAAGTTCCTGGATATTAGCTTTCATCTAGAAAACAGCTGTCAACAAAATTTGGAAAAATAATGCTTTAAATGATGCTTTTATAAAGTTCTAAACAACTCAAAGTATGTTGTACAGCATAATTGTTAATTATTTTTTTTTTTTTTTTCATTTTGTGTCATGTAATTGTTAGTAATCTATGATTGATTGTTGGTTGCTTAATGTCCAGTGGAAAGTCAGTAATAAAAAAGTAATGTAATGCTATTTGATAAAGTAATTGATTACATATTTTTTTCAGACTAATCAATTAAACAAAAATTCTTCAAGGAATCGTGTCCATCCTTGAAAGTAAATCAATGTAAAAAAAATTATGGAGACGATTTAAGGAGATTATGCAATTCTTGAAATGAAAATGAAAAATCTTACAAATTTACTTCTACAAGTAAATATTGCTTACCATGCTTACAGCTTCAAGTAAATATTACTCACATCTGCAAGTAAATATTACTCACATCTGCAAGTAAATATTACTCACATCTGCAAGTAAATATTACTAATATCCTCAAGTTAATAAGCTTGACTTTTATAAGTATTACCCTTGACTGACATATGGTTTTGATATACATGTATATTTAAGAAACAGTTCAAATTTATGAACCATAGAAATGGTGGACTATCTAGATCTGTAGTCACACACAATGAGTAGCTGGTGTGCTATTCATGCTATTATTGACACATATTAAAAATATATAATATTTTCACAAGATCTTTATACTTTTTGAATATTTGATAAATATAAAAGTAATGTTCAATAAAATTTTCCTAAATAAAAGAAAGCAATTACTATACAGTTCAACTACATTTCATGCTGGTTACCTCTTTCTATTGATTAATTTAATTATTATGATATTAATTAATATGAAAATAAGGAGAAGTGGTAGGATTGTCAATTAGAAAACTATCCACCAAAGTTCAAATGAAATGCCTTCACCAATGAGAAAAATCCATACTGTATATTTGGCTATAAAAGGTTTCGAACATGAAAAATATGAAACAATTCAATAGAGAAAACTTACGGCTTAATTTAAACAAAACAATTTACGAAAAACAAAAAACTGACTTGGGACAGGCACACATAGAATGTGGCGGGGTTAAACATGACCGGACGTGGCATGGTATTTAAGTTTATTCAAAGGATTGATATGCTTACCCTGATCGTATCTAAATTTCCAGCTTGGTAAACAATATCACCATAAGAATTAGGACATATAGGATGTGCTATTCCTGTTGAAATAAGTTTTCTACAGGTGCAGTCAAACTTGCAAACCAAATCTTTGTATCTTTGGATAAATTTAGTAAAAGTTTTAAGTAATTTCTGGTATCGAAGTGATTAAACGGACATACAGTCACACTTATGGTGACATTATAGTTGCTAATCTTCTAATTAAGTCATTTGGTCTCTGGTGGAGAGTTGTCTCATTGGCAATCATACCACATCTTCTTACTTTAATATTGGTCCAATGTCCCCATATAATTGTTGAATTAATAAACCAATCTATGGACATGATAGAGAGTAATTTAATTGGTGACAACTTACAAGTAAATACTTCCCAACCTCTTCAACTTTTATTGTCATTATTAGTCCCCTAACGACAAAGTCGAAGGGGACTTTAGGTTTGCACTCTGTCCGTCAGTCTGTCCGTCCGCCTGTCCATCTGTCTGTCCGTCCGTCTGTCCATCCGTCAGTGCGGCAAATCAGTTTTCCAGACTTTTTTTCTTGATGCTTGAAGATATTGATTTGATATTTGGTGTATTGTTTTATCATGACAAGTTACAGGTCAAGTTCGATTTTCACGATTTTAGCTTTTCTCCTTGTTCAGTTAAAGCCCTTTCCCTAGAATTAAATTTTTGATGAAATACTTATTAATTACTAGATATCTGTTCAAAGGGAATTAACTCATTTTTATATGACCACAAAAAAATTTTGTGGTCATATATTGGTATGACGTTGGCGTCGTCGTCCGGCGTCGTTGTCCGAAGACACATTGGTTTTCGCACTCTAACTTTAGTTTAAGTGAATGGATCTTTTTGAAATTTGACCATAAGGTTAAATACCACAAAAGGAAGGTTGGGATTGATTTTGGGGGTTATGGTACCAACAGTTAAGGAATTAGGGGCCAAAAAGGGGCCAAAAATAAGCATTTTCTAGTTTCCAGACAATAACTGTGGAACGGTGTATGGATCTCTCTGAAATTATACTAAAGTTTCCATACCACAAAGGGATGGTTAGGATTTCCTTTGGGGGGTTATGGCTCAAACCGTTTAGGAATTAGGGGCAAAAAAGGGGGAAAAACAAGGTTGTCCTGGTTAATGGACAAATACTTTAGTACAAAACATAATTTAAAGCAGTGTAAGGGAGATAAATCAAATACATCATTGAAATTATCTCCCTTACACTGATTTTAAATTATGTATAAAGTAATGGTTAATGAACAATAAAGATAATTTAAAACAGTGTAAGGGAGGTAATCCAAATACAACGTTTTGGTTACTTCCCTTACACTGCTTTTAAATTATGTTTAAAGAAATGCATATTTATAAAGGAAGACCAGTAAAAATATCTGCAAATGTTGCATCTTTTTTTTTTACAAAAAAATCCATATGAAAGATTTGACACTATATTTTTAATTCTGTTATAAAATAGATTAAGTTAGCACTATGGTAAATTTAAATGGGTAATTATGGTTGCCAACTCCATTGGAAATTTGAATTGAGATTATGACCATATCTTGAGGGAAAGAATTTTTGGGGGGAAAAAAGGGGGGGGGGGATAAAAAGAAATTGTGGGGGGTCAATTTTTTCTCATTTCAGATTTCAGAAATTAAAAAGAATTATTCTTCAAATATTATTTTTTTTTTCAAATTTCAAATATTGAAAAATTTCAAGAAGTAATCTTTAATTGCACAGTATGGCACATTAGATTTGTAAAATCTTTGATCACATTTATTTATTTGTTATGCCGAATCTAACAGTGTATTTAAATTTTTAATTTTGGGTCCAGTTTTCAAATTGGTCTACATTAAGGTCCAAAGGGTCCAAAATTAAACTTTGTTTGATTTTAGCAAAAATTGAATATATGAGGTTTTTTTATATGCTGAATCTAAACATGTATTTAGATTTTTGATTTTTGGCCCAGTTTTCAAGTTGGTCCAAATTGGGGTCCAAAATTAAACTTTGTTTGATTTCAACAAAAATTGAATATATGGGGTTCTTTGATATGCTGAATCTAACCATGTATTTAGATTTTTTATTTGTGGACCCTGTTATCAAATTGGTTCATATTGAGGTCAAAAGGGTCCAAAATTAAACTTTGTTTGATTTCATCTAAAATTGAATTATTGGGGTTCTTTGATATTCCAAATCTAACCGTGTATTTAGATTTTTAATTTTGTCCAGTTTTCAAATTGGTCTACATTAAGGTCCAAAGGGTCCAAAATTAAACTTTGTTTGATTTTAGCAAAAATTGAATATATGAGGTTCTTTGATATGTTGAATCTAAACATGTATTTAGATTTTTGATTTTTGGCCCAGTTTTCAAGTTGGTCCAAATTGGGGTCCAAAATTAAACTTTGTTTGATTTCAACAAAAATTGAATATATGGGGTTCTTTGATATGTTGAATCTAACCATGTATTTAGATTTTTTATTTGTGGACCCTGTTATCAAATTGGTTCATATTGAGGTCAAAAGAGTCCAAAATTAAACTTTGTTTGATTTCATCTAAAATTGAATTATTGGGGATCTTTGATATTCCAAATCTAACCGTGTATTTAGATTTTTAATTTTAAGTCCCGTTTTTTAAATTGGTCTACATTAAGGTCCAAAGGGTCCAAAATTAAACTTAGTTTGATTTTAGCAAAAATTGAATTCTTGGGGTTCTTTGATATGCTGAATCTAAACATGTGTTTAGATTTTTGATTATGGGCCCAGTTTTCAAGTTTGTCCGAGTTGGGGTCCAAAATTAAACTTTGTTTGATTTTAACAAAAATTGAATATATGGGGTTCTTTGATATGCTGAATCTAAACGTGTATTTAGATTTTTGATTATGGGCCCAGTTTTCAAGTTGGTCCAAATTGGGGTCCAAAATTAAACTTTGTTTGATTTCAACAAAAATTGAATATATGAGGTTCTTTGATATGCTGAATCTAACCATGTATTTAGATTTTTTATTTGTGGGCCCCGCTATCAAATTGGTTCATATTGAGGTCAAAAGGGTCCAAAATTAAACTTTGTTTGATTTCATCAAAAATTGAATTATTGGGGTTCTTTGATATGCCAAATCTAACCGTGTTTTTAGATTTTTAATTTGGGTCCCATTTTTTAAATTGGTCTTCATTGAGGTCCAAAGGGTCCAAAATTAAACTTTGTTTGATTTTAACAAAAATTGAATTCTTGGGGTTCTTTGATATGCTGAATCTAAACATGTATTTAGATTTTTGATTTTTGGCCCAGTTTTCGAGTTGGTCCAAATTGGGGTCCAAAATTAAACTTTGTTTGATTTCAACAAAAATTGAATATATGGGGTTCTTTGATATGCTGAATCTAACCATGTATTTAGATTTTTTATTTGTGGACCCTGTTATCAAATTGGTTCATATTGAGGTCAAAAGGGTCCAAAATAAAACTTTGTTTGATTTCATCTAAAATTGAATTATTGGGTATCTTTGATATTCCAAATCTAACCGTGTATTTAGATTTTTTATTTTGGGTCCTGTTTTTTAAATTGGTCTACATTAAGGTCCAAAGGATCCAAAATTAAACTTAGTTTGATTTTAACAAAAATTGAATTCTTGGGGTTCTTTAATATGCTGAATCTAAACATGTATTTAGATTTTTGATTTTTGGCCCAGTTTTCAAGTTGGTCCAAATTGGGGTCCAAAATTAAACTTTGTTTGATTTCAACAAAAATTGAATATATGGGGTTCTTTGATATGCTGAATCTAACCATGTATTTAGATTTTTTATTTGTGGACCCTGTTATCAAATTGGTTCATATTGAGGTCAAAAGGGTCCAAAATTAAACTTTGTTTGATTTCATCTAAAATTGAATTATTGGGGTTCTTTGATATTCCAAATCTAACAGTGTATTTAGATTTTTAGTTTTAAGTCCCGTTTTTTAAATTGGTCTACATTAAGGTCCAAAGGGTCCAAAATTAAACTTAGTTTGATTTTAACAAAAATTGAATTCTTGGGGTTCTTTGATATGCTGAATCTAAACATGTGTTTAGATTTTTGATTATGGGCCCAGTTTTCAAGTTTGTCCAAGTTGGAGTCCAAAATTAAACTTTGTTTGATTTTAACAAAAATTGAATATATGGGGTTCTTTGATATGCTGAATCTAAACTTGTATTTAGATTTTTGATTATGGGCCCAGTTTTCAAGTTGGTCCAAATTGGGGTCCAAAATTAAACTTTGTTTGATTTCAACAAAAATTGAATATATGAGGTTCTTCGATATGCTGAATCTAACCATGTATTTAGATTTTTTATTTGTGGGCCCCGCTATCAAATTGGTTCATATTGAGGTCAAAAGGGTCCAAAATTAAACTTTGTTTGATTTCATCAAAAATTGAATTATTGGGGTTCTTTGATATGCCAAATCTAACCGTGTTTTTAGATTTTTAATTTGGGTCCCGTTTTTATATGACCGCAAAAATTAAAAATTTTTTGGTCGTATATTGGTATGACGTTGGCGTCTCGACGACGTCGTCGTCGTCGTCGTCGTCCGGCGTCGTCCGGCGTCGTCCGAAGACACATTGGTTTTCGCACTCTAACTTTAGTTTAAGTGAATGGATCTCCATGAAATTTCACCATAAGGTTCAATACCACGAAAGGAAGGTTGGGATTGATTTTGGGGGTTATGGTACCAACAGTTAAGGAATTAGGGGCCAAAAAGGGGCCAAAAATAAGCATTTTTGTAACTTTCAGACAATAACTTGTGTGTAAGTGTATGGATCTCTCTGACATTGTACCACAAGGTTCCATATCACAAAGGGAAGGCTGTAATTGATTTTGGGGGTAATTGCCTCAAAATTTTAGGAATTAGGGGCCAAAAAAGGGGCAAAAAACAAGCATTTTTCTAGTTTCATGACAATAACTTGTGTGTAAGTGTTTGGATATTTCTGAAATTGTACTACAAGGTTCCATATCACAAAGGGAAAGCTGGAATTGAGTTTGGGGGTAATTGCCCGAAACGTTTAGGAATTGGGGGCCAAAAAGGGGCCAAAAATAAGCATTTTTCTAGTTTCCAGACAATAACTTGTGTTCAAGTGTATGGATCTCTCTGAAATTGTACTGCAAGGTACCATACCACAAACGGAAGGCTGGGATTGAGTTTGGGGGTGATGAATCATAAGGGGGTTTAAAAAATTTGGGGGGGGGGATTTTTTTTTTTTTTTTTTTCTTTTTTTCCTTTTTTTTTTCTTTTAAAATTTTCCATTTTAAGTTGGTTATTTCTGATTTATATTTAAAAGCAAATAATAATGATATGGTAGGAGATACACACCAAACAGGATGTGTAAATTATTATATAATAAGTATTGTGCAATAGCAAGAAATTTTCAATTGCACAGTATTGCACAATAGCAAGAAATCTTCAATTGCACAGTATTGCGCAATAGCAAGAAATCTTCAATTGCACAGTATTGCGCAATAGCAAGAAATATCCAATAGCACAATATTGCGCAATAGCAAGAAATTGTCAATTGTACAGTATTGCGCAATAGCAAGAAATATTCAATTGCACAGTATTGTGCAAAAGAAGATACTTCGTATAAATTGCTTATTTCTTGATCAATTTCAATGGGGTTTTATTCTTGAATTCTTGGGGTTCTTTAATATGCTGAATCAAACCGTGTATTAAGTTTTTGGATTTTGGGCCCCGTTTTTAAATTGGTCCACATTGAGGTCCAAAGGGTCCAAAATTTAACTTTGTTTGATTTCATCAAAAATTGAATTATTGGGGTTCTTTGATATGCCGAATCTAACCGTGTATTTAGATTTTTAATTTTGGGTCCCGTTTTTTAAATTGGTCTACATTAAGGTCCAAAGGGTCCAAAATTAAACTTAGTTTGATTTTAACAAAAATTGAATTCTTGGGGTTCTTTGATATGCTGAATCTAAACATGTGTTTAGATTTTTGATAATGGGCCCAGTTTTCAAGTTGGTCCAAGTTGGGTCCAAAATTAAACTTTGTTTGATTTCAACAAAAATTGAATATATGGGGTTCTTTGATATGCTGAATCTAAACATGTATTTAGATTTTAGATTTTTGGCCCAGTTTTCAAGTTGGTCCAAATTGGGGTCCAAAATTAAACTTTGTTTGATTTCAACAAAAATTGAATATATGGGGTTCTTTGATATGCTGAATCTTACCATGTATTTAGATTTTTTATTTGTGGGCCCGCTATCAAATTGGTTCATATTGAGGTCAAAAGGGTCCAAAATTAAACTTTGTTTGATTTCATCAAAAATTGAATTATTGGGGTTCTTTGATATGCCAAATCTAACCGTGTATTTAGATTTTTAATTTTGGGTCCTGTTTTTTAAATTGGTCTACATTAAGGTCCAAAGGGTCCAAAATTAAACTTAGTTTGATTTTAACAAAAATTGAATTTTTGGGGTTCTTTGATATGCTGAATCTAAACATGTGTTTAGATTTTTGATTATGGGACCAGTTTTCAAGTTGGTCCAAGTTGGGGTCCAAAATTAAACTTTGTTTGATTTCAACAAAAATTGAATATATGGGGTTCTTTGATATGCTGAATCTAAACATGTATTTAGATTTTAGATTTTTGGCCCAGTTTTCAAGTTGGTCCAAATTGGGGTCCAAAATTAAAGTTTGTTTGATTTCAACAAAAATTGAATATATGGGGTTCTTTGATATGCTGAATCTTACCATGTATTTAGATTTTTTATTTGTGGGCCCGCTATCAAATTGGTTCATATTGAGGTCAAAAGGGTCCAAAATTAAACTTTGTTTGATTTCATCAAAAATTTAATTATTGGGGTTCTTTGATATGCCAAATCTAACCGTGTATTTAGATTTTTAATTTTGGGTCCTGTTTTTTAAATTTGTCTACATTAAGGTCCAAAGGGTCCAAAATTAAACTTAGTTTGATTTTAACAAAAATTGAATTCTTCGGGTACTTTGATATGCTGAATCTAAACATGTGTTTAGATTTTTGATTATGGGACCAGTTTTCAAGTTTGTCCAAGTTGGGGTCCAAAATTAAACTTTGTTTGATTTCAACAAAAATTGAATATATGGGGTTCTTTGATATGCTGAATCTAACCATGTATTTTGATTTTGGACATTGGACCATAATAGGTAAATTAAAAAAATTGAAGTTCTTAGACCACATTCTTTCTGTGTCAGAAACCTATGCTGTGTCAAATATTTAATCACAATCCAAATTCAGAGCTGTATCAAGCTTGAATGTTGTGTCCATACTTGCCCCAACTGTTCAGGGTTCGACCTCTGCGGTCGTATCAAGCTGCGCCCAGCGAAGCATTTTATTTAAATTGGTCTTCATTGAGGTCCAAAGGGTCCAAAATTAAACTTAGTTTGATTTTAACAAAAATTGAATTCTTGGGGTTCTTTGATATGCTGAATCTAAACATGTATTTAGAGTTTTGGCGACGGCGGCGGCGGCTACGGCGGTGGCGGCGTTAGCTAACTTCTTAAAAGCTTTATATTTTAGAAGATGGAAGACCTGGATGCTTCATACTTTGTATATGGATGCCTCATGTTACGAAGTTTCCGTCAGTCACATGTCCAATGTCCTTGACCTCATTTTCATGGTTCAGTGACTACTTGAAAAAAAAGTTCAGATTTTTTGTAATGTTAAATTCTCTCTTATTATAAGTAATAGGATAACTATATTTAGTATGTGCGTACCTTGCAAGGTCCTCATGCCCGTCAGACAGTTTTCACTTGACCTCGACCTCATTTCATGGATCAGTGAACAAGGTTAAGTTTTCGTGGTCAAGTCCATATCTCAGATACTATAAGCAATAGGTCTAGTATATTCGGTGTATGGAAGGACTGTAAGGTGTACATGTCCAACTGGCAGGTGTCATCTGACCTTGACCTCATTTTCATGGTTCAGTGGTTATAGTTAAGTTTTTGTGTTTTGGTCTGTTTTTCTTATACTGTATGCAATAGGTCTACTATATTTGGTGTATGGAATGATTGTAAGGTGTACATGTCTAGCTGGCAGGTGTCATCTTACCTTGACCTCATTTCCATGGTTCAGTGGTCAAAGTTAAGTTTTTGAGTTTTGGTCTTTTTTTCTAATACTATATGCAATAGTTCAACTATATTTGGTGTATGGAAATATTTTATGATCTATATGTCAGTCACGCAGGTTTTATTTGACCTTGACCTCATTTTCAAGGTTCATTGCTCAGTGTTAAGTTTTTGTGTTTTCGTCTGTTTTTCTTAAACTATAAGCAATAGGTCAACTATATTTGTTGTATGGAAGAATTGTTAGCTGTACATGCCTGCCTAGCATGGTTCATCTGACCTTGACCTCATTTTCATGGTTCATTGGTCAATGTTTAGTTTACTTGGTTAATGTTAAGTTTATGTGACAGTTGTAATAAAGCTTTATATTTAGGACTATCAACATAATATCAATGATTAGTAAAGAAGGCGAGACATTTCAGCGTGTGCACTCTTGTTTAAATTGGTCTTCATTGAGGTCCAAAGGGTCCAAAATTAAACTTAGTTTGATTTTAACAAAAATTGAATTCTTGGGGTTCTTTGATATGCTGAATCTAAACATGTATTTAGATTTTTGATTTTTGGCCCAGTTTTCAAGTTGGTCCAAATTGGGGTCCAAAATTAAACTTTGTTTGATTTCAACAAAAATTGAAACTTAGTTTGATTTTAACAAAAATTGAATTCTTGGGGTTCTTTGATATGCTGAATCTAACCATGTATTTATATTTTTTATTTGTGGACCCTGTTATCAAATTGGTTCATATTGAGGTCAAAAGGGTCCAAAATTAAACTTTGTTTGATTTCATCTAAAATTGAATTATTGGGGTTCTTTGATATGCCAAATCTAACCGTGTTTTTAGATTTTTAATTTGGGTCCCGTTTTTTAAATTGGTCTTCATTGAGGTCCAAAGGGTCCAAAATTAAACTTAATTTGATTTTAACAAAAATTGAATTCTTGGGGTTCTTTGATATGCTGAATCTAAACATGTGTTTAGATTTTTGATTATGGGCCCAGTTTTCAAGTTTGTCGAAGTTGGAGTCCAAAATTAAACTTTGTTTGATTTTAACAAAAATTGAATATATGGGGTTCTTTGATATGCTGAATCTAAACGTGTATTTAGATTTTTGATTATGGGCCCAGTTTTCAAGTTGGTCCAAATTAGGGTCCAAAATTAAACTTTGTTTGATTTCAACAAAAATTGAATATATGAGGTTCTTTGATATGCTGAATCTTACCATGTATTTAGATTTTTTATTTGTGGGCCCCGCTATCAAATTGGTTCATATTGAGGTCAAAAGGGTCCAAAATTAAACTTTGTTTGATTTCATCAAAAATTGAATTATTGGGGTTCTTTGATATGCCAAATCTAACCGTGTATTTAGATTTTTAATTTCAAGTCCCGTTTTTTAAATTGGTCTACATTAAGGTCCAAAGGGTCCAAAATTAAACTTTGTTTGATTTTAACAAAAATTGAATTCTTGGGGTTCTTATATATGCTGAATCTAAACATGTGTTTAGATTTTTGATTATGGGCCCAGTTTTCAAGTTTGTCCAAGTTGGAGTCCAAAATTAAACTTTGTTTGATTTTAACAAAAATTTAATATATGGGGTTTTTTGATATGCTTAATCTAACCATGTATTTTGATTTTGGACATTGGACCATAATAGGTAAATTAAAAAAATTCAAGTTCTTAGACCACATTCTTTCTGTGTCAGAAACCTATGCTGTGTCAAATATTTAATAACAATCCAAATTCAGAGCTGTATCAAGCTTGAATGTTGTGTCCATACTTGCCCCAACTGTTCAGGGTTCGACCTCTGTGGTCGTATCTAGCTGCGCCCCAGCGAAGCATTTTATTTAACTTTCCCTAGAATTAAATTTTTGATGAAATACTTATTTATTACTAGATTTCTGTTCAAAGGGAAATAACTCATTTTTTTTTTTAAAGCTTTGTAAAAGACATTGTATTAAGATAAATGACATTTTGGATTTTTTTCCTTTATTTAATAAATTGTTTGAAGAATTTAGTGGTAGGTTTGCTCCATTACAATGAATTTTTAACCGGTAGGGGACTATGTATTGCCATGCAATACTTACAGAATGCTTGTTTATATTTAAGTATGGGACTGGATGAACTTTCGGCTGGTGTTGTATGGTATTTTGAATCCAATGGAGAATTGACCCTGGGTTCAATTTTCCATAGCGGAAAATTGAACACCCCCCTGTATGGAAAATTGAACCCCCATGTGTATTCTTTCAAGAAAAAAGTAAAATATCAAAAAAACTCAACTCCAAGGAAAATTCAAAACGGAAAGTCCCTTATCAAATGGCAAAATCAAAAGCTCAAACATTGAACCGATTGTAACATGATATAATGGTATAAGGTAGTTTTACAATGCTATCTATATGAATTGAAATTCTGATATCTGATGGGAGAGGGGCCAATTTTCCATGGAAGGGGGTCAAAATACCATGGCTAGGAAAAAGTGTTAAAAATCTTTTTCCAAAATTTTTTTTTTATTCAAGATACTACATGCAAGTGCAGCTGAATCTGAAATACACTAGGGTATCTGAATACACTACTGCATTTTAATAAAATGTAAACATGTAAAGGTAAATGGTGTAGTGACTGTTTATCATATGATCATTGACCTTTTAAATATACAGGTTATTAAAATAATATTATCTGAAATGACTGATTAACATGAATTGTAAAAGTAAGTGGCCATTATAGTTAATACATTGTGTATAAATTTTACAAGTTGAAGGATTAAACATCTCATTTTTTCACTTGATCTATAAATGAAATCCTGGGACTATTACACTAAAATTAGTATATTAGTCCTAGATGAAATCATGTGACAATTAGATAATAACAAATGAATTGAAATAATCTGAATTTTGAACCACTGTATTCAGCCATAGTAACCTAAAGAGATAAATAATATATTTAATTCATACAAGAAAGGCAAAGGTAAACATCTTTTTTTTTTAAAAGTTTATCAACTTATCCGAATGTTTGAAATGTTTTAAAAATATGGATGGAGTCTTTAACTAAAAATTAAATGATTGTTTAAAAATTAAATGTAATTAAGAATATTTTTTCAGATTCTTTTATGTAATTGTATATTTTACAGAAATCTCCTGTTTGCATTTAACAACTTAGTCTATTACATGATTGCTACATGAGTGGCTTATCTTGTAGTATAAGCAGGCACGAGTTTATTATCTACAGGCATACTCTTTTCAAGTACTGCTATACAGAATGACTTCATATTTGGTCAGCAGCTTGACAGTGATGAGTAGAATGTTTAAGTGTTTTTCAGATCTGTCAGATACCTACTTCATGTATGCAGATACTTTGAGTTTTCAATATTTTCTTAAACATTTCTGCAGTGTTTCTGAAGCTTGACAATGATGACTTTAAATGTGTAAGCACTTTTCAGATCTGTTAGACACCTACTTCCATTTTCCTGATACTAAGGGGCTATGATTATGCTTTAATCATGTACAACTATATGCAGGCAGACAATTTTTTCTAAAATGTGAATCGTAAAAATATTAATTCCAAAAACTTGAGAAACTTTGCAATGAACATGATTAAAATTGGCAAATATTTTGGCTTGTAGTAGGTATGAAAGGAAAATTTAATCAAAATTTGAAATGAAAAAAATACTGCTGACACTTTATTTTATTTCTCCTTTACGCACCTTCAAAATTAGAATAACTGGCTTTTTATTATGAAAAATTCTGGATTTAGCATATGTATTTTAAAGAAATCCAATATTGAGCCTGATTTGCTTTATATTTCAGAAGATAGAAGAGGTAGATTATCCATATTTTGTATACAGAAACCTAATGGTGTTAAGTTTCCTACTGGCATATATGTCTGTTATCCTTGACCTGATTTTCATTGTTCAGTAAATGCTTAGAATAACTGGAAAGCTAATCATCACATGATTTTTTTCTGTTATGAAATTCAGGAAAATTATATTTGGTATATATATAGAATCGTTGCATGGCCATGATGGTACACTTGTCCTCAGACAAGGCTCAGATTACCCTGGCCACATTTAATGGTTTAGTTTTTGTTTGTTTCACAAATTCTATAACAAAAAAGTCAATTATTGTGTCATCTGACTGTGTCCAGCTGTCACTATAGGAACACATAGAGTTCACTTCTGTTGTCTTGCATCATTTGTTCTCCTCACAATTTATGTATTTCCTCAATACCTTGCAAACAGCTTGATATAATTTACCCAGACTTGCACAGATTCAGAACATAATTTTATGCACCTTCTATTTTGATTTTATATCTGAATGAATTTTGGGGTTTTCACAATAAAAATTGCCATTTCTGCCCAAATTTTTGCCTGTATTGGAAACAACAGACAACATACATCTAACTTGGAAGACTCACACATTTTATTTAGTGTATAGAATGAATGTAAGGACTGTACATGCTCATTTGACAGGGTTCATCTGACCATGATCTCATTTTCATGGTTCATTGGTCAAGATATTCTTTACATTTTCTTTTCTGAATTTTTTTGATGTTCTGGAATTATAAACAGTTTGTGTTGCTGACATTTACATATACCTGGCATCTCCTTTAGCATGTTTAGTAATATTCTACATTAATCAAAACCTTAGTTTCTTTCCACAAACTATGTAGTTATTTTAAATTATTATGCCCCCGCCGCAGCGGAGGGGGCATTAAGTGTTACCCTTGTCCATCTGTACATCTTTCCATACATATGTACGTCCCAAAACTAATTTCTGTTTTTATGCCCCCGCAACTGAAAGTTGGAGGAGGGGGGGGCATATTGTTTTACCCCTGTCCATCCGTCTGTCCATCCGTCAGTCCCATTATGGGTATATAGTTATTCCAGATAACTTCTCCTAAAGTTTGAATGCTAGGAAGTTTTCACTTTGCTGGCTTTATGTACATATATTGAAGGTGTGCATGTGGTCAGGGTTTTGATTTTGATTTATATTTGCTCTTTTGGGAGATAGTTGAACTTTGTCATTTTTGGAGTATATACTTGCATAAGGTGCATAGCATTTCCAGATAACTCCTCCTACAGTTTGAATGCTAGGAAGTTTTCACTTTGCTTGCTGTTTGTACATATATTGAAGATGAGAGTGTGGTTATGGTTTTGATTTTTATTCATATTTGCTCTTTTGGGAGATAGTTGAACTTTGTAATTTTTGGAGTATATACTTGCATAAGAGGTGCATAGCGTTTCCGGATAACTCCTCCTACAGTGAACCATAGACCTATGTGCTCCCATGCTCAACTTTGTGTATTTTAAAATAATGCTTTGTATCTGCGGGGGCATCTTTGTGCCCAGACACAATAGTATCTAAAAGAAAGTCCTACATTGACTTTGTTATAATACAGTTACTTCAGAGTGGAATGTGGGGGCATCACTTTGTCTAGTCTAAGTCAGTATAAGTCATCTAGATAAGTCTGGAATGTTTTTGACAAGTGATAGATGTTATATGTTTTTTGGAATCTTCACAAAGGATCATATTTCCTGTCAATGTTTTATATTTTCTGAGCCATCTGTCAACTGAGATATAGGGCACTGACAGGAAATATGAGCCATGATATCCTGTGGGAGGCCTGAAGAACAATTGTATTATACTGGAGTGTCCTGATTTCAACCTTAATGTCCATTCTGATCTGATTTTTTCATCACACAGGATATGGGTTCATATTCCCTCTCAAGATAACCAATCAAATTGCAGGATTCACCTGGATATTTCACTCCAGTATAATATCAATGAATATATTATCATACATTGCAATAAGTAATTTGGTAGCAATTTACCAACATATGTAATGTTATTGAATTATTGTTATTTAATTGCAGGAAGAGGAAGATATGGTACAAGCGGGCAGAACTCGTGACAGTCAAGCTAAAGAAGCAGCCAGGATTATTTATGAAAGTTCTGGACAACCAATTCGGCCATCAAGGTACACAGAATTTTTTGTTATACACTAATGACATGAATAAGGTTGTTAGAAAAAATGTAAATAATTGTTGAAACATAATTATAATAATACTATGGGAAGACAGTCTTACTACATTGAAGTTTTTGTTTTAAAGATCATTGAAAAATGTGAATCATGATCCATGTGTCAAAATTTGAAATCAGACAATATTAAGACATTTTGTACAAATTATGACATACATGTACAGTGTTAAATTAATTTTGGTATTATTGAAGGTTGCAATTCTGTAAATACTGACAATGCAATTTCCCATAGGAACTCCCTTTGCGGCTAAAACTGTGACACTTTTACTATGAAGTTTCGTGAAAAATAATATCCCAGAACGGAAAGTTTATATGCACTACTATTTTATTCAAAGGTCAAAATATAGGGCTGTGCGGCATATTTTCAACATTTATATGCCCTGAACTTCTAAGAGTTTAAACTTATACTAAAATTCTATACTACCCTTACCTCCATTTTTGGACCTCCTAAGAATTAAAATTTAGCCGCTACCATGTTTTTCAATACTGGTTACATTCCCAAGTGATGTCTCTATGAGATGAAACACAGAGATCATCAATGGGAACCAGTACGTTAACAAATTAACATACCTATGAATATTAAATATCTCCCCAAAAGAGGCGTGGTTTGAGAAACAGCTATATTTACAAAGTGCAACCTATACAAACATTTATTCAAAAAGAAAACTCTCTAAAAACACTTTTTCTCACAACTATACTTATTTATCAGAATTATAGCCTTAAAGAAATCACTGCATATACTCTAAGTTTCCTTTTACAGTAAATTTTATATCCCTACCCCTGTGTCAATTTTTTAAAGATTTAGAAAACAAGACTCTAATTATTGCCAGCTTACCCTATGTGCATGTTATCTGACATGAACTGTCCAAAACCTGTTTGAAACTATTCTGATAACAAATTGAAAGCATTTTAGAATACTATAAATGTATTGTTTAGTAGTTAAGCATTCCAACATTCAAGATTATACAAAGTATCCAATCCTGCCTGTGTCTCCAGTCCACATCTTACTGTATGCCTATTTGTCAATGAAAGTTCTCAATTTCTGCCTCAAATGGTCAGTTTAGAATTCTTGTCACAACAGTATCATCCCTAACCATATATCTAACATAAGTTAGTTAATATATGAACTAGAAGTGTTTAAACAAAGCCATATTTGCAAAAGTTATATTTATGAAGATATCAGTCTGGTGCATACATTCACTAAAAGTTTGATTGAAATGACTGCTTACATCTGATTTTTGCATAACTTCCTAGCACAGTTATTGTTTACTTTACCAAAGACCTTTAAAATAAAAAAATCATAGCATTTACAAGTTTAATTATCTGTTTTATGACTCAGGGGTAGGCATTTTTCTCTGTTTTTTGCCCATGGGGCCTCACATTTCCTAATTTTTTTTCCCTGTTTCTAGCAATGTGGAATATTTACTACATATTAAGGATAGAACACACTATTGTAAGTTTTTTTGAGGTCTTTTTGTAATTCTAGCTTGTACTTTTTTATGCCGCGGTCACAAAAAAGCACATTTAGGCGTTACGGCTTACTTTTGGGTTATCGACAGGACAAAAACACCCCACCAAAAATATTTAGGAAGGATCAATGAGTTGCAATTACTGCGAAGAGTAAATATAAGCACTTCTAAACAATTTAAATTACAAATAGGCATATATTATGAATTTATTTTGAATTCAGGGCTTTAAGTAAACCATGCATACTGTAAACTGTGAATTTATGCTGAGTCATCATAGTTAAGGCCCAGGATTTTCTCAATCTTCATGAAAAATTTATAAAACTTCATATTTGAGTTAAATTCTTTAAAATCTCTGAGATAAACCAGATTTTGTGAAATTCTGTATGTTCTATTTTTTGACCCTATATAGGTTGCAATTCTGTAAATACTGACAATGCAATTTCCCATAGGAACTCCCTTTGCGGCTAAAACTGTGACACTTTTACTATGAAGTTTCGTGAAAAATAATATCCCAGAACGGAAAGTTTATATGCACTACTATTTTATTCAAAGGTCAAAATATAGGGCTGTGCGGCATATTTTCAACATTTATATGCCCTGAACTTCTAAGAGTTTAAACTTATACTAAAATTCTATACTACCCTTACCTCCATTTTTGGACCTCCTAAGAATTAAAATTTAGCCGCTACCATGTTTTTCAATACTGGTTACATTCCCAAGTGATGTCTCTATGAGATGAAACACAGAGATCATCAATGGGAACCAGTACGTTAACAAATTAACATACCTATGAATATTAAATATCTCCCCAAAAGAGGCGTGGTTTGAGAAGCAGCTATATTTACAAAGTGCAACCTGAAGAGTTTCTTTTTCAAAAACAAAATCTGAAAGTTTGTACAGCAAAAAGGATGTCACTCTTTACATTTGAAATGATCTATTTTTATGCCCCTGCCATAGGAATTGGGGGCATTAATTGTTATCCTTGACTGTCCTTCCATCCATCCTTCCATCCATCCTTCTGTCTTTCTGTCCGTCCTTCCATCTGTCCCATTTTCATTTGATTATCGTTTCCACACTCTAACTTAAGATATCCTCTTCCAAATTTCATGAAACTCATTAACAATGCTAAGAACCAAAACTCCCAGACAGAGTTCGAATTTTGGCAGTGAGTTACTTACCGTCCTATAGTTATGCCCCTTTATAACTTGGAAAATTGCAAATTTTATCGTTTCTGCACTCTAACTTAAGTTTTTCTCATCCAAATTGTATGAAACTCATACACAATGTTAAGAACCACAACATGCAGACAGAGTATAAATTTTGGCAGTATTTCACTAACAGTTCTACAGTTATGTCCTTGTATAACTTGGAAAATTGCAAATTTTTCAGTTTGAGTACTCTTAAGTTTTTCTCATCCAAATTTTATGAAACTCATACACAATGCTAAGAACCACAACATGCAGACAGAGTTCGAATTTGGGCAGTGAGTCATTTATCATTCTAGAATATGTCCCTTTTTAACTTGGAAAATGACAAAGCTTGAGCGGGCACATTCATGTCCTCAGACACATTCTTCTTTTATTTTTATGACTATGTGAAATGGCTTAAAGTAAACTTGTCGTAACTCATCAGATCCCAGATGCAAACTCTTCAAATGTAGCACTTGTGTAAAATTAGAACAGATAGAAATATCATGCCAGAATTTACATATATTCGCAATTAGTTTTGGAAATGACTGGTACTGAACATGATTGAACCTGATTGACACAGTTATTGATTTTTGATTTTCATTATCTACAAATATAGTCCCTAGTGTGGACCTTGTATAACTTGCAAATTTTTTTCAAACACCTTCCATAATTTATTTCTTTATATTTTATGCATAAAATAATGAGAAGGGGGATGGAAAAAAAAATTGAGTCATGAAGGAGTGTCACCAAATTGAATTATAGACCCCTTTATATAAAATTGTCAATATTTTAAGTTAGAGCTGGTAGACTTTTCACACACCTAATTAAATGGGCATTTAAAAAGTCGGAATGCGAATAAATATGTTCAAACTCTTTTAGGTCATTTTTTAGTAGCAACATACAAAAGAGCTATGTCAATTGGACATGCTTTGATACTATATCTGCCCTTGAATTTTTACTTGATAACATTTTTGTTCGCTTTGAAGATTCCGTATATCGTCAAGTTATCGGAATTCCAATGGGGACTAACTGTGCACCACTTATTGCGGTCCTGTTTTTGTATTGTTATGAATTACAATTTATGACTAAAATCAGCAAAGACCCATCGAAACAACATCTGATACAAACAATACTTTTAGATATTTGGATGATATATTGGCTCTCAATAATGACAACTTCAGTATGTATACTAAAGAAATTTATCCTGTTGAACTTACTTTAAATAAAGCTAATACTAACAATGACCACTGTCCTTTCCTCGATCTTGATATCTATATCATTAACGGGAAGCTTAATACAAAAATTTATGATAAAAGAGATGATTTTTCATTTCCTATCGTTAATTATCCATTTTTAGATGGTGACGTTCCCTTGTCACCTTCTTATGGTGTTTATATATCTCAACTTGTACGATTCGCTCGTGTATGTAACAACATATTAGATTTTAGCGAGAGAAATTTATATATTACTAAAAATTATTACACCAGGGTTTTCGATATCATAAACTAGTCAAAACATTTACTAAATTTTATCGTCGGTATAAGGACACCCTTTGTAAATATAAATTAACATGCATCTTATACGTTCGGGTATTTCACATCCAATCTTTTATGGTAATATTCTTTACAAAGCACAAAAATGCCAGTATTCACCTCAAAAGCTAACAAAACCTTTAAACAGACTTATTAAGAAGGGATATAGTTACGATACTGTTGTCAGGTCATTAAAGATTGCATATTTTGGCTTTAATATTGATTCACTTATAGGGTCTTTGCATCGGAATTAAACATATTTATTCTAAAACCAGTTGTTGGCATGACACGGGTTGTGTTCTTCTCATATATTTTATGACGGTATAATACTAAACCCCTAACAGGAGGGATTGTGCCTGATATTCATATGATGAAGACATAATCTTTCAATCAGTTTAATTGAGGTCTGGAGCTGGCATGTCAGTAACTGCTAGTAGTCTGTTGTTATTTATGTATTATTGTCATTTTGTTTATTTTCTTTTGTTTCCTATTCTGACATCGGACTCGGACTTCTCTTAAACTGAGTTTTACTGTGCGTAATGTTGTACGTTTGTTTTTTCTACATTGGCTAGAGGTATAAGGGGAGGGTTGAGATCTCAAAAAACATGTTTAACACCGCCGCATTTTTGCGCCTGTCCCAAGTCAGGAGCCTCTGGCCTTTGTTAGTCTTGTATCATTTTTGTCGAGCCTTCGACTTTTGTCGAAAAAGCGAGACATAGCGATCCTACATTCCGTCGGCGTCGTCGT